AAATTAAGACATCAATAAAACAATAAAACCATCTCCTAAAACATCAAATAAAAAAGGTTGACAAATCAAGACAAACGAACAGAAATGAGTCCATCAGCTCTGTTAAACAACTCTAATACAGGAGTGTGAATAAGGAAGTTCTACCAATCTCGTGTTTGTGATTTTCTTGGTCTTTGTCAGAGGTGTCCATCTCTAGTGAGCAGGGGGCTTTGGAAGATGAGCATGTTTCTCCATCTCTTGTTTCTTGTGAGGCTGAAATCAGCTCACGATGAGGCTCTCCAGTGGACTGAGAGTCTTGTGCAGAATCCAAAGCTGAGAAAAAGAGAAAATAACTTTTACTCACCAGGTCCAGAAGTAGAATAAAAAGAAGACATTTCTGAAATCCCTATTTGTTTTCTGAAACATCATCTTCAGAGTATAATAATCACAGCCAAATAGATGTACTATACACATACAAATTAAGACATCAATACAATTCGGACACCAAATTCTAAATGATGTTACCCTGCAATGAGACCTGAAATTTGGTTTATTTGCACAAACCATGAAATCTTCACACTAATGCTAAGGATTCAATAAATCTGCATATTAAATACTTGTTGAGTTTCTCTTATACGCTAAGTAGAGAGTTACTGTTGTAAGATACATTTCCATTACTGAACAGCACCGAAAACATGATTAATAAAAATTCTACGTTACCATATAAAACGATGTAACACGATAAATATCGAACTGTAATTTAACGTAAGTCTGTAATATGTCATGACAAATCTGCAAAGTTCACCAACCAGTAGTATCGCTAAGGGATTGAAAAGAAAAAATACTATCAGTAGACGTTACTACTGTTACATAATGACCTTAAAACAAGAGCTTATAATACAAATTATCGAAAGACAATTTAGAAATAGTAAAGATACAGTATAAACCCTTTTAATAATTTAGTCTTGCACATTCTACACTTACTATTAAGGTTCATAAATGAAACCGAAACTTAGGAATTTGTTGCTTCCTCTACACATTGAGAAAAACAATGGACAACAGTCGCAGTTAAACTGAGTTTTTAAAAACGGTATCAAGACACTGCATTATAAAACCTGACAGGATTCTGAATGAGACTCAGTACTCCACTGTAAACAGAAAACTGAAGTATCGCAGTGTCGACGAAAATAGCCCAGCCATCTTTTGACAGCCTCTAGGCTTTATTAATCTTCGATATGTTTTGAGGGTATTTATTTTACTTTATTTCTATGAGCAAGTAACCGAAGCTCACCACAAGTCTTGGGTAACGAAGCATCAATCTCCATGCTTCTTCTTTACAGCGATTTGGACGATGAACTTTGCACGCCGCAACACCTCCACACCATCTATTTCCACATCATAACTTCCACGGCGGTACGGTTTCCCCCGGACTTTGTTTAGGGGAACACGGGGACGTCACACGGCGTCGACTGTGATTGGATCATCGCTGTCTCCGGTATTTACACACCTTAGAAAAAGTCGGAATCGGAAAGTGATACAGTAATACATTTTGAGTAGCGTGCTACGGCCTGATAAAACAATTAAAGTGAAGTACCTTTTCAAAGCTTACAATGATTGCAGGCATTCTAACGAGTCCATTTATTAACTTTCTGCAGAAAGTTTAAAACACTATTTTTTTAATATTTTGAAAAAAAGAACTGTAATTACTCCGGTTTGTGCCAAACGTTTTAGCGTAGATTGTATAAAGCGTAGAGAGAGTATTACTCTTTGTATTATTTAATTTAAGAACAGCCTAAAGCTTTTAGATTACTGTGTGATTTTGTTAGCGCTCTGGTCTGGGGATGCTTTAAATTATACATTTCCCTGATTTTATTCTATAATAGTAATTCTAAATAAACTAATTTATTAATTGACTAATTGGTCAAAAATAAAGCTTGAAACTACAGTTCTGGTAAATTATACCACAATTTATTGCGGTTTATCATAGATTATAATGGTGATTATTGTATCTTTTCATTTGTGAGATTGGCATTTGGCTGACCAGACTCCTGATGAACCATTCAAGAAGCATAAAGCTCTAGTGATGGAGACGTTTGGCACAAATTCTGCTGTGTCCCAGTGCTACATTTCATTGACCCCTGGAACACGATCCCCATTTCTGATTTAGCACAGTTAGACACGATTTGTGAGGTTACCAGTGGCCTTAAGGATAAAGCACTTAACCTTTCATATAAAGGAGCTCTTGTGGTTGGTTTAAGTGTAAAACTGTAGCTGAACAGACGACATTAGGTCTGAGCATCTTCCCAGGCTTACCAAGAAAGCCCCCCAGAGGTTTGGCAACATAAATGCCAGAAAGGGTAAATGACGTATGGGACATCTTTTCTGATATAAACTGCAGATGGCGCTACTTGCCCAGCTAAGGTCTAGTGCTCCGTTAACAAGTCCAACTGCTCTGAAGAACGACAACCTGCAACATTGTCTCATGCAGAAAGATCAATCATCAACCATTCATTAACAATCCAATCCTGTCTTTTTTTTTACGTTACAAAACTCATGCAACATAACATAATAATAAAAAACACTAACAAATAAAATACTTATCTCGAGTACAAATAGCTTTCTGTTTTTGCTCTAGACGATTCAGTACATTTTCTCTTAAAACTACTACTGCTGGCTTCCTTTAAAAATACTATAAAAGACTTCGGCAGTAGGTTACTTCTTACTGCTCCTTCACACAAGCAAAACGCATTAAAAGTATTATTTAAAGACATTTGGGTTCTGTAGAAATTGACCATGCAGGGTGAAATATCCCTATAAGCGAAATTGCTCGGACTATACAATCTTGCAGTATGCGTTTAAACTCCTCCCTGCTTTTGATTAATCCAGAGAGAACCTTCCCACCGAACACTTCTTCGCTGCATTCGAAAACTCTTCTGCTTGCGTCCATCCACTTTTCATACAATCACTGAAGGATTTACGATTACCGGGGACTGCACGGGATTGTTTTTTTTAATTTAAAAAGGGGACACGTTTCTTTGCAATTTGGTGCTTTTAACTCTATGCTAGAAACTCCTGGAACCCCGTACAGAAGCAGAATGCAGTTCTTATTGAAATAAAAAAGGGAGAATTTCTGGATATTGCGAATTGCAAAGAGGATAGCTGCAGCCAGAGCTGGTTTGACCACCCAGTCAATAAAGCACTGACTCTTGCAGAAGTCTATGTGATGGCTAAATTGGAGCTCTGGTGTCTTTTGTGGTGTGTAGCGCTCAGTGGTACTTCACCTGCACCCAATGGAACGGCGAACAACAATATTAATGATGATAAGACCAGAGGGACAGAAGAATTAGATGAAGACTATATTGAAACTCTTGGAAGTGAGACGGACAACCAGGAGAATATTTTATCACAGGTATTAAATGATGCGCTGTGTTTTTTTTCCAGTGGGTATTTGTGTGTGAAATTCCATTCAGCCTTGTTTAAAGATTGATATCTTATTTTTCTCTGTCTTCATGAATTTCCGGTGAGAATTATAAACGCTATTTAGATATATCAAGATGGAACGGCTTTTGCAGGATTTCTGAAAAAAAAAAACGTTTAATCCTGAGCATTAAAAGAATGTAAAAACGCACTATACAGTATGCGCTTCGGTTAACATCAATTTTGGTGGTCCCTTAAAGCTTTAGTCTTTAAATTTGCCAAAATATTCGGCAAAAGCTATAAAACGTGATGCACTTATGTAGCGGAAAACAGAAGTGTACTAGAGTCACTATGGGATAGTTAAATTCTGGAGTACTGAAGAGGTGAGATTTATATGCCCAATACTGTATAGAAAAATACAGACAATCCATGCTTTATGAAAGATACAATTTACATTTTTTCTTACTGTTTCATTTTTCTATCTGGATTTATTAAGGTGTTTGAGGCAATTATGAGATTATCGTCATACTCATAAACAACTACTACTAATAAAATAATAATTCTGGAATCTTTAAATTGACATTCTCCCTAATCTGGTTAAGATCTCTCCACAGTGTAGTCTACAACTTTTTAGCGCTGCTTAATTGTATGTTATTTCAAGTAAAAAGACCAACAAAAAAACACAAACTATTTTAATGAGAATGTTTTTTTAACGAAACGGATCCCTCCACGACACCACCCTTTATGTTACATGTCGTAAGTATTTATTGGGCGGTGGGGTGCTGACTCCCTTACCATACCAGGGGATTAGAAATTATTTTTCAGAAATGTTGAATATGTCAATATTGTGCACTGGTAACGCTGCTGGAAAATACATACATGTTCTTTTTATTGTAGCTGCTGGGTGATTATGACAAAGTGAAAGCGGTTTCGGAAGGCTCTGACTGTCAGTGTAAATGTGTTGTCAGACCCCTGAGCAGGAACGCCTGCAGGAGGATTGAGGAAGGCACTACCAAAGCGCAGGACTTTTACACAGTGGAGACTGTGACTTCAGGCCCAGGATGCAAGTGTGCCTGCATTGCTCCTCCTTCAGCTCTGAACCCCTGTGAGGGAGATTTCAGGCTGAAGAAACTTCAGGAGGCTGAGGCACAGAATATTAAGGTAACACTTAGACTGGAAGCGTCCTGTATTTTCTGCCACCCATAACAGCCCCATTAGATTGTCCTTCAGCTTCATCTTTTGGTGTGTTACATAAACGTGTTTCTCAAATAAGATTCAGCCATGTGTTACTTTGGGCCACATTTCTGATGTGCAAATAAAAACGTACAATAGGGCGTTTATTTTATTTTTATATACAAGTCTGTTGTACATTTGGTATGGTGTATGGCTTGGTATAGCTTTTGTGTTTTACCTCAGTTGCTTCAGGAAAAACATTTACAGAATGTTAATATGCATATATTTAAAAGAGGAAGCAGAATTTAGATTTTTAAAATTAGAACGTATACTTTTAGTTTCATTAGTGTGCATGTCTAATTAGTGCTTACAAAAGTGTTCCAGAACTTATCTCAGATTGAGCTCATTATGCATCCTTGCCTTTTCTCGTAGCTTTCAACAATTATAGACTTACTGGAAGGGGCCTTTTATGGTATGGACCTCTTAAAGATACATTCAGTCACAACCAAGTTGGTTGATCGCATTGACAGAATTGAAAAGGTAAGTCATCACCTTGTTCAACCAGTGCCAGAAAAGATGCTGCAGTATTTTGAGATAATGTATCAATAGATATTATCAGTAAAACTGATCAAACCCTCCCTCCCAAAAACGTGTTCCTTATAAATACAGTAAATTAATATCTGAACTATAGTCCAAAAGATCTGAAAGAATAAAAGAAAAAGAGTAATTACTTAAGCAATGTTTATATGCTTAAGCCTTTTGTTCACTGGACTAACCATATTCCTTACTAAAAACTACATTTAGTCTTAAAACTACTTTGCCAGGACTATGACAAGTAAGAGCTCAGACTGATTAGATCTGTTGCACTAGTTTCAACAGATTGTCAAAATATGTAAACACCACATGATGTTAGAGCTTTGCATGCATTGACAAAACTGTCCGCAAGAGCTCTGAAGTTTAAAGAACAAACAAAAAAATCATGATAGCTTTTGAGAGTAAATATGCACTGGAAATACTGTTTTATATCGCCACAGCATTGTGTTTTTCAGGACAGTGATGTATAACAGTCTCATAGTTGAAAATAGTGTTGGCGCTATTCTTATAAATTAATGTCTGAATGAAACCATCATTACATCAATGAAGTGCTGTGGGCTAGCTGGCAGCCTCCTGTCAATCCTTTGAGTCGAGTCAGCTCAACCTGCCTGCCACTACAGGAGAAGGGTGTTAGGTTCTGAATATTGCCTTGTTTCCTTAGGCTGTTTCTGTAAACAACACCAAAGAAAAACAAAGTGCAAAGAGGGACTTTGATGGGCAGACACAGATTAAAGAAAACCAGTCACTCCACCGAATTGAGAAGAAGAAACGACTGAACAATTTGGCTTTAGCCCTGCAGAGAGATGCTGCTGCTGCATATACACACACTGAGGTAGGACTCATCCCAGTGGTGTAATGTACCCTTACAGAATGGACTTCCTTTCTCTGTGTGGGAGAGTTTATAGTTTGTTTATAATGAGTGCATGCTGACAGAGGTACAGTATAGCTGTAACAGACACCTAGGAACCTTCACAGCATATTCATTACCCTGAATTTGCGTACCCTGTTAAATTATTTTAAACCGTCATTACCCTGATTGTTTGAGAGCACTAGAGTCTCATCTCACAGGGGTCTGGTGTTTTGGTGTAATGGGGCAAATGTTCATTTTGACTGCTGATCTTGGGCTCTCAGAAGAACTCTTCCATTAACAGTACCAAAAACATGAGAAAATAAGGCAGAATCTTTAATACGGCTCTACTGTATATGCTCTAGAAATGTACGTTTTCAAAACATTCCAAACACATGCACTTCTCAGTCCTACGCTGTGTTTTAAGAAACTGATTTAATGAATCAGGAAAATGAATGTCATGTCTCTTGTAAATAAAACGTACATATTTTTTACCTATGTAAAACTCATTAGTGTCAGATATTTAACTTCCATGCTACTGTTCTTTCTGCTTGTCAGATTTTTGTCCCTGTCTGGGAAAACTAAGGGCTACAAAAGTAGTTCATCAATACACAGATTTATACTCCTGGTAAAAGTATAATTTTTAACACACATCCTTGGACTATGAATCACTACAAATGTTTACCATAAACATGATTAGATATTGGAAACAAATGACCAACCCATCACATAATGTAGCTTTACTGCCAAGTGACCAAAAGCATTTTTTTCCATTACTTTTCTAATTTGAATGATTAAGACAGGAAAAAAAAATTAAAATTATTTTCGCCACTTGAGACTTTACAGCTCAAATTATTTATATAGAAAGAAGCTTTTGGCAGAAGATGAATGTCTTTTTGCCGAGCACTATTGGCTTACTTTGTGCAAGATTCCTTCTGCTGCTCCTTACACCTACAGTTGAACTAAGTGTGGAAACTGAGCTGAAAATTTATGAGCCGTTTTACTTAGCAAAATTTAGCACCTAGCTTAACAGGGTTTGGGTTTTGTAGCCAAGATATCTTGTTTTCCTAAAGTTAATTCCTGGAATGAATTATTTTATAATTTTCATTTTTACCACACACTGGATCTGTTAAAGCATCCATATTGTAAAAGCTTGGATCATATCAAAGTGAGCCTTTTCTCCCCCAAATGGCCAAGTCTCAATTCTGTTATTCATGGAACAATTTTTCCGACAAAACTAAGTAAAACAGGACTCATAACAGTGAAGCCAGCTTAATGACAAATAACAAATGGAATGGAAGAATCATACTGGACATGAAAACAGTTATATAAAGTCCGGTGGGAAACTATTGGAATGTTTGCAATATATGTTTTTATGTGGAGCAAGACCATTAGTGACTTGAAAGACAAGATCATAGATCTGGAATGCTGTTTTTAATGCATTTTGTTTATAGTCACCAAGCTCTTCCATTTGTATGAATGCCACCTTTTCCGTTTGTGAAAAAAGTGATTTCCATAGCGCAGAAGGTGATCAGCATTTGAAACTGTGTTCTGATCTTTTCTTGGTCCACAATATAACACTCTTCATATACTTGCCTCCAACAGAAAAAATATGAAGAAAGATTTATCAATGATCGAGAATTCACTAAGCCCCACTTAAAGAGAAGTCACACTGAACTCCCGACTCTGGCTCAGCAAATTAGGGAGCCACAGCAGACAAATGCCATGGGGAAATCGGCCATCATCAGAGGAATAACTTACTATAAAGCCAACAATGTGGAGGAGGACACTGACACTGATGAACAGCGTAAGCAGATCCAATATTGTCCTTAGAGCACCTATTTAGTAGATCCAAGTTTCACCCAATGTACATTTTTGATTATTTACATACCTAATGTAGAATTGTTTAAGTCTCATGTTACAGACATATCTCTTGTCCGGGTCACAGAGAACCCTGCTCCTCGACAGATGTGTCAGAGCCCCATTTATCATTCAGCATACAAGTCAGTGCCAACTGGAGCAGTCTGTCTCTAACTGACATCACTGCATACTGTACTTGCAGGAATCCAACAACTCACAATCCAGCAAGCGGTATTGTTTCACCAGAAGCCACAAAGACCCCTGCTAACTGATTCAAGCCAACAATGCAGGGTATCCCAGTCACAACTTGCTAGCAGCACATGATCTACGTTCCAGTAGTGCTCAGCCTTACTCTCTGAGCAAGTGTCTTTCACAGAAGAGCTATTTAGAAGCCTAGGCATACCATTTTCTTTTGCATAAAAACTTATATTCAAGAGGTTAAGTGAGATGCATATCTGCTTAAAAAACCCAACATCAACCCAAACCAAATGGCAATTACAAGACCATTTTATAGTTTCTATACCAAGGATTATTTTTTTAGCCAAATGAATTTTTGTGGTTTTTCCATTTCCCATCATTATAGTGTACACGAGTGACTTATTAGTTCACTCTCAGCTGTTCTGTTGTTTGCTACTTGACCACAGCTGACGTACGCACCAGATTCCTCTCAAAAACAAGACAGGCAACTGTCCCTTGGTGAACAAATGCAAATGTACAGCACAAACCTGCTTTCATGTCTCCAGGCTGCTGTAGTTACATCTACTCTGGTGGTTACAAAAACATTGGCAAGGTGTTTTTATAGCTGAGTAACAGGCTATTTCCCAAACAACAGAGGTGTTTTTTTCCCTTTTGGTTTTGCTCTTGAAAACTGGCAGTTACCTACAGAACTGACCAGAGATTTCCAAAGGCAGAGTTTTGTTTTTATTCAAAGCATCTTGCCTTTATCAGAACGCAGCTTATTTCTGGGGTCACAGTAACCCAAGGGGATACTATATCTCAGTAGTATAGCGTGCAAGTCAGGACCATACCTTGAATGGGACGCCAGCTCATCGCAGCTAGATCACACAGGGACGATTTAGATACACAGTTAACATAGCCAGCATGTTTTTGGAAGGTAAGACGAATCTGGAGCACCTGGAGAAAACCCACTTAGACATGTAAAGAATAACAAATCAGGAAGTGCCCCAGTCCCAGACTGAAACCAGATTTTATTAATATTGTTTGTAAAATATAAGATCTTCATGTTTTCTGTGGTTACTACTTACTGTGGCAAATGTACATATGAAGAAGCTATGTATAATGCTCGAGGACTGTGATACAGTTATTGCTTCAGTTGAATTTCTCCCTCTTAATTGTTAAGTATGAATGGAAGTTGTCTCCACTCCTTCACTGAAACAGCAGGCTATTTGGCTATGAGGTGTGAAGGAGTTGTTTTTTTTCCCAAGCCCCTATAAAATGAAACAAGTGCCTTTTTATTAGACTGTGGAGTCTGCTAAAGCAACTAATATTGACTTTTAAGGCAAAAAAAAATGAAAAAGCATTTGCATTTGGAGATTATTATTTTCACAAGGTTGGCAATGATTTTTTTTAAGACTTAAATACTAGCAGCTTTTAGATCTCTTTATTTCTTGCCTATCCAGCAGAGGATGAAAGTTTGAGTGGTGATGGGCCTACAGATTTGCTGTTTGAAGAGCAGCTTATCAAGCAGACAAGTAATCCGGCAAGAAGCAACAGCAGGCCAGAACCAATGGCAGGACCTCCCACACCTACGTCTTCCGAGAGTGAGACAACTCAAAACTCTCAGTCAACAAAGTCAGCTACGGACCCTGCCACTGAAGAATCTACAACAGCTGCCACTGTATCCTCTGGGGTTGTACCTTCTTTCACCATGACTGCCCCTAAGTTCACAACCCAAGAAACCACTGTGAAACATACAAGGACCACTCAGCAAAGCCCTGCCATTGCCACAACGGTTCCGGAAACTACCATCTCCCAGGGCACAACCACCATCGCTACGACAACCAGTACTACAACAGCAAGTACTACAACGGCTAGTACTACGACAGCCAGTACTACGACAGCCAGTTCTACAACAACCAGTACTACAACAACTACCGCAAAGCCAACTACCAGCGAAACAGACTCTGTTACTGTACCAAATCTTACCACAACTAGGGCACCACTTCAAAAAACCATCACTCCTGCTACAGTCCCGCAAATAAAAACTGCCGGCCCTTCTCCAGGGGTAAAACCTAGGCAACCTTTCCGCTTGGATGAGGTTGTATCCCAGGAAAATATGGGGGATGAAGCACAGAAAAATGGTGAGTCCTGGCTTCCATCTTAGGTTTGCTCTGGTATCTCATGTACAAGTTTAGTTTCACTTTTGTTTAGCCTGAGCAACATTTTTTTTTCTTTATCGAGAGCCAAGAACGGATGTATTTATTATGCAACGGATTCACTGAACAATTCACTTGAGCCTATTTATGCAAAATGTTAGTGACACCTTTCCATGTAATCACACTTGTAAATGAGTATGCCTAAGTCAAAGAAAGACTCTTAAATGAAACTACTGTTTTACATTGGTTTTAATGAACTATGCCAGAGGTAGAGGTGGATGTTAAGCACACTGAAAAAAACAAAAACACGAATTTTGTCAACTTTTGTTAATAGGAGTGTGTAAGGACACCTTGTCCACAATTTCTGATCCCGTGACTCATAACACTTACGGTCGGAGTGAAGGAGCCTGGATGAAGGATCCCAAAGCAAGTGATGACAGGATCTATGTCACAAACTATTATTACGGAAACAATCTTTTAGAATTCCGCACCATGGAGAACTTCAAGCAAGGTATTTTCTGTGTCATTTCTTTATAACAGGCAATTACTAAAAGGAGAATTTCTGATTGCCAATAAATGTCCTATCATTTTAATTCACAACTATGTTTTTTTGCCCCAGAGAAAAGTGTTCAAAGAGGTTTACAAGCTAAATGTTTTTTTTTTTACCCTTCCTAAGGTCGCTGGACCAACTCCTACAAGCTTCCCTACAACTGGATAGGCACGGGACACGTCGTGTACAACGGCGCGTTTTTTTACAACCGAGCCTTCTCGCGTGACATCATCAAGTTCGACCTGAAGCAGCGGTACGTGGCGGCGTGGACAATGCTGCACGACGCCGTGTTTGAGGAGGAGACGCCCTGGAGGTGGAGAGGCCACTCGGACATTGACTTTGCGGTGGACGAGAATGGACTGTGGGTGATTTACCCGGCCATCGACGACGAGGGATTCCACGAGGAGGTGATCATCCTGAGTAAACTGAACGCGGTCGATCTGAGCATTCAGAAAGAAACCACGTGGAGGACTGGCCTTCGGAAGAACTTTTACGGCAATTGTTTCATAGTATGTGGCGTGCTTTACGCTGTGGATAGCTACAACAAGATGAATGCCAACATCTCCTATGCCTTTGATACACATACAAACACTCAGATGATACCCAGGCTGCCTTTCCTTAACAATTACACTTACACCACGCAAATTGACTACAATCCGAAGGACAGAGTTCTTTACGCGTGGGACAATGGGCACCAAGTTACATATGCAGTCATATTTGCGTACTAAGAGGGGTCGCAGAAAGTTAAAAAACAGGTTCTCGGCACTTTTCTGTATAAAAAAAAAGAATAAATAATTTTATATCCCTGTGCAGATTGTAGATCAATCTACTTGGCTTTTTACTTTTTTTTTACTGGATGATGTTAACTCGTACCGTTTTTGTATAGCTTCCTGTTTAATGTCTACCATGCGTATGTTTTTTTTTGTTTGTTTTTTTAACTATGTTATTTATATTTCACTCCATTTCTCACCTCCAGAAGGGCTGGCAAATTAACTCCTTCATCACAGCATGACAAGGCTTATATTTTACTGCCTGCTATAAGTCAAAAATATATAATTGTATATACTGTAATTAAAATACCAAATAGAGGAAAATAAAGTACAGAGGAATTTAGGAGATAGTCTCTGGCCTTTCCTTTAATGTTTTAAAAACTAGTGAAAGACTATTGCAAGACCTGAGTACACACAACAATAAAAACAAACTGAAATAAGGATTAAACCATTTGTAAATAAGAATATGCACCTAAGCAATGGTATTGTACAGTGACATTTGTATGCACCTATGCAATAGGTGTGAATTACGGAATGATGTCACTGTATGATATACCACACACCTCGTTTAAAACTAACAAAATTAATACTATACTGTACCAATTTCAGAATTGGTAGCTTTCAGTCCTATTTATACAGTCCTCTGCATTGTTGTTCCAGTTACACCAGAGACTTAAATTCTTAGCTCTACATGTCCCCCCCCAAAACCACTTAAGCACTCTTCCTTTGGATTAGTTGAACAGTAACATATCTGAGCAGTGTGCAGTAAAAGAAAAAACATTTTAAACCCCACTTCTTTAGTTACAGGTCATTTTCTAGCTTGAGTAACACAAAAAACAGTCATAAATCACTTTTCTGTACAATACATGAAAATTGCATGTAATTTCCACTGGATTATGGGTAGTATTCTAATCCAGAAATTTGAACATGAAAGAAACTGTGGACAACACTACAGAAAAATGATGGTGTATATAAATGGCAATGGAAATACATCAAAATTGTCTCATTGGCTGTGGCAAAATGACTATGGTTTGCTTTGTGGCTTTTCTTTAATTCCCAAGTTTTAGCAGTCTGCATAACAACTGTTCTCTTTTGAGTTTCTCTAAAAAAAATGATTAATGTGTTTTTCCCTGTGTATTTTAAAACACAGCTTTTAGAAAGTAAACAGAAAATCGGAGACCTTATTTCATAGGATAAATCATTAATGTTTGAAATCTGTTTGCAAACAAAATGTTTTCAGACTGAAACAAAAATGATCAGTGTGGATTAATTAAAGTTTTATTTGTCTAAATTTTACAATACAATACAAAGATCAAATGAATCTCACAGACTTGTCCTTTCTTAATGAACTACCGCCACACATCCTAGGTTTACAGGAAGGAAAAGCAAGAAAAACTTTTGATCGATACATTTTTTTTGTCAAAGTAAAAAATAAAGTAGAAACTCAAAACAAAATACAATTCCCAAAAAACAAGTAATTTTTCACAGGTTTTGACCCTTGATTTTAAAAACATTTTTTACACTGTTGGTGGTTATGCATTGCACATATTTGTACATTGTTATAAAAAAGTGAGCACTGCAAGCGATATATAAGGAAAGTTCACAGTTGAACTGTGCATCTGCCAGAAATCCTAATTAACCAACACAGTGCTGTTCAGCCCTTTACCTGCTGTAAAAGGTTTTCCTTAATGACATACTGCAGGCACATTACACATTGACCTGGGTGTAATGGAAAGTCAAGCAAAACTGAGGATTAAAAAATAAAACAGTGTTAAAGTATCAGACATTTATCAGCAGGAATAAACTACAATTTCATTATAATTTAATTAACCCTTTATAAAGCAATTGCATTTCACCAGCAACCTGTGGTTTTAAAAAAGGTTTTCTTAATCACACAATACGCAAGTCCCAAGGTTCAGAATAGCACTGGAAATGTTTTATTACTCTTACAATAACTTTAATATAGCATATCCTTTAAGTAAACTATCTTTTGTTTTTTCAAAATAAATACAATATATATTCATCTAGCAACTTCAGTTAATTCTTTAAATTTTTAGCACAAACATTCAGCTACTTTTAATCAAATTGGTCTCACATTCCGCATAATAATGACATCCTACACTACACCGGATAGTGTATCTAAATAATCTGTATAAAAGTCTGGATAATAAACACTGCAGTGAACAGTAGGACTAGCCCTGTATGTATGCTGCTGAGATCGCTGTGCAAAAAACTGTGTGATCTGTATAAAAAATTATTTTAATAAAAGTAAAACCTGCACACCTTAACCAAGGTGTTTACACAAGCTTGTCTGTTCACTGCACTGATTCATCAGTGTAGGAGCCAAAAATGTTGGGCTCCTTCGACATGCTCTCTACCATTAGGAATTTGGCTGTAATCTCAGGTCCTAAAGCATTTTTTATTATAGTCTTTTAAGATTTTTTGATAGTTCATGTTCAAACTGAGAATTCTGAAATACCCAAAGCAAGTTATTTTTAATATATTTAATAACATGTGGAACAGTGCTTTTTCAGCACTTTGAAAAAAGGAATATTACAAGCTGTATTTTGAACACTAGGGCATTTCCTTTCCTGAGGAACAGCTTCAGAAATTATAACGTTAATACGAATCTTTGACGTCTTTTTGCATGAACAATTCAAATACCATACACAGTACAGATATTTGTAAAGAAGTATTGCTTTTGAAGTATAAGTTTTCTTAAAATCTTCTTCGTATTTATAGGGGAGTGGTATAATTTGTAATTGATATGGATTTTATGAGGCAGCTACAACGCGAAGTGCAAACATCTAGCTTAATTATACTGTATATGACAGTATAAATATTAAAAAAAACTATCTCATAACCTGAAAAAATCTTTAAAAATAAAGCAAAATTGAAGACAAGACAAGTTATGAATAGCAGTGTGACTTTAGTGGTCAATGATTTAATTTTAATGTCAAATCATAGTTTAATATCAATTGATATGATCCAGCATAATTTAATATTATAGGTCCTTTTACAGTATGTATTTATTTATACGACTCCAACTAAATTAGAGGATATGTTAAGACTTTTTAGCTTTTCACATCTGTGACAAAAGCTTCAGGTCTTATTTGAGCCTTCATTCTGTGGCTTGGTGCGCAGGACCAAAAAATTGTGGTATGAACAGGAAAAGAGAGGAACCCCGTAAAAGCAAACACTTCGTGTCGTAGAGAGGTGACTCAAGGTTCATTCTTGAGCCACCTGCTGTTATTCAACAACTTCTTTGATGAGGATAAGAGGCTGGGAGCCCACAGCCAAAACAGAACTTAGACGTCACACACCCGGCAGCTCCACTAATGTAGGGCAGAGGTATAGGAGAGGAGCTGTACCTGTTAGTCACAAAGGACACAAAAGCGCCTGAATGAATGTGTAAAACACAACTTGAATTCTGGATTTCTGCAAAACGGGCTTTAAGATATTCGGAAGTATTTACATTAAAGTTTACACTCTTTAGCAGACATGATTGAAAGATGCAGAGGAAAAATACATTCAGTGAAGAAACAGAATTTAGGGAAAACGTAATGAAGGTGACCTGAAACATTATCTTCGGAAAGACGTGCATTCTTCAAAAAACAATATGTATAAAACACACTGCTGGGTATCATTCTAGCGCTGCACTCCAGGCTTATGTGGCAGAACCTGTGATTACTCCAACAGGTGGTGTGGCCTGCCTGCTGGCGGAGGAGTAGAAAGAGTCAGTCTGATTGCCACTGGAGGCCCGTAGGAATGGGGGGATGCTGGAAGCCTTGATGTGGAGGATCCTGGTGTCCATGACCTCACAGTCAATCTGCATCATCACTTCGTATTCTTCTTCCTTTATCACGCTCTCTGCAATAAAAAAAAACAAGCCATTTCAGGAATACAAACCAACATAACTCCAACATAAGAAAAAAATCCATGTGAATCGGATAAAAGGATTTTTAATATTCCATTGACGGAGATCGGTAGAAAACGATAGCCCTCATTTTTAATAGCTTACAAAATAAGTTACAAAATTCAGTACAGCACCATTTCTGACTTGGACATTAGGTGACACCTTTCATGACCAATGTGTCTTCTTCTTCCCTTTATTTTTAATTTTATCTATACTCCCTTTAAGTGAAGGCTTTGCAGCCAGTGAACCAGAAACTGGAAAATAAGACCGGACACTGTAGATCCTCAATCCATCACAGCGTAGGCTAGTCTGTGAGAAGTTAATTAGTGCATCAGGGATGGCGATCCAAGGATTTACAACACAACTCATATCATTAAAGGCAGAACCTGAGAGGGAACTCCTATGGATATCCTTGAACATTACAGAAAATATAAATATTTGAACAAGATTATACAAGTTGATCATTCAAATTTGTTTTAAGTATTATTGTTAAAAATTCCAACTCCCAAAAACTACTGCCCCCGGTGATCTTGTCTACAGAAACACCACAAATTCCTTTAGACCACTTGAATTAAATCTTGCAGCACCCATTCTAAATCTTAATTCCAATAAATCATTTCCTATAATTTTGTTTTGTTGTTCCGAACAAACAAGCGTGTTTTTGACTTGCGACTAATTTAGGCTACACATTTCACTCAACTTTAGCCATAAATTATGAGGCCATAAATTCAGTTGCCGACCAAGGAAGGAAATATCCTGTTGGGCAAGAGGTTCACTTAAGTTAGGGGTGGATGCGTTTACTCTCAGATGCAAACTGTTTTTCAGTTCACTCAAACTCCCATCTTGGACAAATGCCAGATAGCATTTACGTATCAATCCTTAAACCATCTCAAGTTTACAGTACCACTGAAGTTAAAAAAATGCTGTAATTTCTGGGAGAAACTCCTATTATGGGTTTCTTTGTGGAATACTATGGATCCACATAACTAAAACCATATGGATTAGATGCATGTATTATACATTACCAACTTTACTGCCGTCTTGAATGACCCAGCATTCCGGATGAGGACTAAAAAGTCAAATAGTTCCTAGGGGAAAATCCTCATATCTTAAAGCACCTGCAGAACCCATTAAACCTATTATCATCCTCTCTTTGCCCTACAGAAGCAGTTATAGCTTCTGTAGTTTAAGCTTTCTGCGTTTGAAATTGTCAGAATTTACGTTTTCAGATGATCCCAGCATAATCACAGCCCTCCAGTATAACAATATATAAAACTTAAACTGAACTGTGCACAACTAAATGATTGCACTGCCACCACCTTAATTAGCTACCTTCCATTTCATTGTTCCTTCTGCATGAATGAACTCCTGAGAACGGACTTTATATTTGGTCTTTGCTTTTCAAATGTAAACCCTTTAAGAATCATTTAGAAACCAAGATCCGATAAGTTAGCTAAAACACTTTGCTTCCTCTTATTATGCGTTCCTTTATTGACTATGCAATACAAATGATAACAATTAGCATACTGTACATCAACAATAGTTAAGCATTTTTGTCAATACTTTAGACAAACGGATCCCAAATTTCCATTCAGTTAGAGAAGCTTTCACAGCAGATGGGCCAGACAATCCATCAAGCTGAATTGAGAGCACACAGAGGAACATGTGGAGACATATCTGAAGGGTTACATCACTGGAGAGAGCCTGGAAACTGTTCAGATGTCTGACCAAGGCCACATCACTCAGACTGTGGATTTGCATTGTTCAACATACAGTAAGTCCTCTACCCATTATTTCAAGCCACTAATCATAATAAAAAGATCTAAGCAAAGGAGGATTGTAACAAATTTGCTTTTACCAGCATCAGCAATTTAATGACGTTTGCTTTCCTGGACACCCAAGCCCAAGTTTTATAAACAACTCTGAGGAAAAAAAGCTTAAATCCTTTCTCAGGATAGATTCATTTACACGTATCACTTTACTGAAGCTGGGCTGGGTAGTTCAACAGGGAGCTGCGACAGACTTTCATTAGAGAAAGTCAGCAGGCTGCCTAACAGCAGACGTGTCACCAGACAAGCCTCTGGCACTGATTACACTATGAACTGCTTGCTTAGTCAAACAAATCGCACTTGTGCCTTTGACTCTGCATTTCAAATGCAATCTGCATTGTAGTCAAGCAATATGAATCAGTTAGTAACATCAAGGCTAAAATGCAGTTAGACTGCACAATTAAATCTTGGCAAGTATGGTCACAAGTTACTCAAAATGCATTATTGTACAATCTAGGAAATGCAAACAGAGAAAATAAGGGAATATTTTCATTCCTTACATTTAAATTTGTATTTCTTCAGAAACATTTTAAAATACTTCCCACAACATAAAAAACATTTTCAATATCTCACTTTGGCCAAGTACAATTATTTTTAATTACAAGTTAATCTCTTAATTAATCTCTGAATTTGACTTTGACCAGTAAAACAAAGACTGGCAACATTTGACCAAGGCTATAAATAAAATATCTCCAAACTCCATCATAAACATTACACAACATTATATAACAACTGCCATTAAACACATTTATGCAAATCACATTACAGGCATATAATTATTTTGTTACCATTCATAACAAGACCACTGCAGCCAAAAGCTAAGAGCAGAATCCCAGAAGGGGAAAGTTATTGTACTGGAAGACCCCATTAAGGACTTGAAACCTGTCAAGAACTTTCTGCAGATGCAGCTCAATAACAGTGGTCCTATTATATTTCGGTGTTTAACATTCTTTCATGCAAGTTGTTTTATTGTGTTGTGAAGTCTTTCAAATTAGTTATGAAAGGGATATTTAAGTCCTTTTAAGTAAAGCAAAACCAAAAGAATTAATCTTGAACTTGTAACAGTATGATATGACAGCATGGCAATATTCTTTACTATTTAGCCAATATGCTGGTATGCAACAGTTAAGATTTTATTTCATGTCAGCTGAGTCTGTTTAACAATCTCTTTATAAATTTCGCAGTGCTGCCAGTGCTTCAGCATATGAGCAAAACATTAACAAGTTTAATTTAACAATGCATACGGACTGAATTAGTTACCTTAGAAACAAAGCATGACAAACTGGAAGAAAACAATTGCTCAGGGATAAAGCATTAGCATTTCATTCAGAAAATCAAATGGAAAAAAGATAACATTTTAATTTTAAATTTGAAAGATGGCAATGAAGATATTAAATATTGACAGTTAACTCCTGATGTGTCAAGGTGACACAATATTTTATTACAACTCGGTATTAAAATCAATACCCAAAAATATCACTCAGTATCAGAAAGCAAAATTACTCTGTATTTTTTATGATAACAAAAAAAGGTTGCTTCTGATAAGACAGCGGGCTGCAGGAAAAATATTTTGCAGACAACAATGTTAAAATAACTGATTCTTCTTGGTTTTTGCAATACAAAGTCCTTTAACCAGGACCACAGCAGAAAGAAGCAGAACACTGAGTCATTAATGAGGGTTCCAGGTGACAGCCTACAGTCTCAGAAGATCAGAAGTCTGTGCTCTGTGAAGTTGCTATCTCCTCCCTTAGATCAACCTCCAATCCTACAGTATGTTCCCATTCCAGCTCACGAGCTTTTTGTTCCAAATGGCTGAGTCACCTTGTTATGTCCAAAGTTTCTGAATAAAAGAATAGCATTCATTGTTGCACTGCAAGTCTACTTAGTAAATTTAAAAGTAAATTTTTAGACAAAAGCAGGCTCCATCATTAGAGGACAATAAAAAGGAAACATAACCAGCAATTAGGAAGTATCTTCATGCAGACACTTTATCACAAAACGCTGTTTGCCACATTCAGGATTGCATTATGAATTTACAGAAATACCTGATGATTTCACATTATAAAGAACAAAATTTTGGTTTGCGTCTGTCTCCGCTACATAGTGATGTAAGAATGTGTCCTCAAAATTAGAATATAATGATTACACATTAGTTTTGATACATATTAAATTGACAGTCTAGAAAAATACCATGTCAGAAAAAACAATGTTACATTATGGACCTGGTAGAATTATCAAATGACATCTGGCAGCCCATGTTCTTTTTAGGAATTACTACCTCCAAAGCGCAAGTTGCTAATTTACTTTAGAAACAAGCACACAAAAAAATCATGTCATTATAAAGTAGTAAAAATGACTACAAAATCACAGGAAAACTGTAAAACTGACAGATGAAAATTTAAGAGATCCTTTTTCCTAAAGAAACAACCTCCTGCTAATTGTTTCCATATTAAAATGTATTTTAAAGTGTCCCACATACGAGTGAAAAAAATAAATTAGTGGTGTCTTGGGATTTAATTAAATACGAACAGGGTCTTGATTTTGCGGGGCTACACCTACAAATCCTGTAAGATAGTGGTTTTTGACAATAAGATTCCCTGTCGATAATATATTTCCAGTGGAGCACGAGTCCTTTGGAATAAATTATATCTCTGGTAACATTTTTCATGTTTCCCTTTAGAGAAAAAAAAAATCAGCATAATTGTAACCATTTTAAATCAAATTACAGTTTTTAAAAATGCATTTAAGCAAAGGCTATTCTCTACACTTGAGGTGTTACCTTGAAAAACCTTTTTATTTACTCAAATAAAGTCAACCACAGTGAGATATTTTATGTGGCTGAAATGGTCATGGATCTTTAGCAATACTTAGACGAACCTTGCACGACTGAATTAAAGCCTTATGGTTTCAGGTTTCTGCTGTGCACCTGTAACAATTTCTAATGACAAGAGAGGGGAAAAAAAATCTGAAAGGAAGCAGCACTTGAGAAATTTAGAACAATAAACTAAAGCTCCATGCTTATAGAACCCACAGCTGGTATAAAAACAGAAAGCATTCTGCACCACACGTCAACACTGTTGATGTTTTTGCACTGCTCAATTTGCTGGCAAGTCTCGATTCCCCAAGGTCACTCAGCAATACTGGGAAAGGTTTAGGGTCAAACGATACACCCAAAATACACTGCACTAATGGTCATATGTGAAAATATTATTGGCCGTTTCCAAAGATACCAAACTGTATCATCTGTGTGATTGGCTGCCTTAGAACCATGGGAATCATTCCTATTAAAATAAATTCTTTCACGTTTCATTCCTTATAGGGTAAAGCTAAGTCCACCTCAGAAAGTACCCTGTGATATAAAACCCGTTGTGTTCAATAAGAAGAAAATCAGAATGCCCTTCATATAGCAGAATACTGGACCACTTTCAAGCTCATCGCATGTTTTGCAGTTTCACGTATTTAGCCACCTTTTTCATATTTGCAGGACCAAATAAAAACAGTCCAGATGGAACCTATTTTTCTCATCCAGAGGGTTTCTCTAAATTAATTCAAGCTGTGACTGGAAAGAATTACATACAATAAGAGCTACACCTGGAAAAATTGCTCTTGGTTTCTTCTTTTTCATATAAAGTATTATTTAGCATGATGGCAGAAATATAAAAATGTTCTCAAGCAAGGAAGTGTGCACCAAATTCAAGAAACATTGAACAATCAGATTTTCCTTCCATTTGGGGAAACAAAACAACTAATAGCTAGAGTACATACTGCAGGCAGTCCCTTACATAACTCCTAGGGTGACTGTCAATTGTTAAAAACAGAAATCGTGTTTCTAAAACAATGCTTCCTTTTATCAGATGAAGTCTTAAACAGAGGAAATTGGGCTGTCATGGGAATGAGCTAATAGAAGAGAATATTAGCTAACAGATTATTTAGTTTGAACAAAATGTATCATTCCATTTTACAGAGCACTAAGGCATGTTTTCCACAGATGTGTAGCACAGCCAAACTTGAAATACCTGGGTTTGATTCATGGACTTGATTAATATTAGCCCTAAGTGGAATTGCAACTCATTATTTTAACAAATATCGGTTCGGCCAAGATCTGCCGCAGATATTAAACAGATTCATTCAAATGGAGCAGTTCTGAATAACAAATGCAAACCATCGATCCACCTTTTTCTCCACTGGGGTCAAAAAAGAAGCCTTTTGCTAGTGAGGGTGCACTGGGTGCTGGAATATTTGACAATACTTCTACTGTAGCTTAGATTAACCACTTGAAGAATGTATACACCATAAATCCCACTTTTTTTTTCGACAAAAGCAATCTGTCAAAGTGAGGCATCTGTGTAGGTTCATCTTAAGTATCATAAAGTGCACAACGTGTCAACCATACCATAATGCAACAGAGAGACACAAATAAATGTTCATTAGAAGTGGAATGCAGCCATGTGGACAGAATGTCCGAAAAAAGTCACCATTTAACCTGAGGGGTTTCAAAGAAGGATTTATTTTGGAAAGTGTTCCCCCTGAGTGTACCAATGTTCACTAAAAGCCAGCATAGGTGTTAAGAATATATATTTTAAACCTCCCTGATTCTTCAACCTTTATGAAAGGTATTTATTCCCTACTCTACTCCTAAAGCATAGTCCTGTTTTATGTTCAATTGACCTATTAAACAAAAAATAACCCTATTTACACTAAAAAGACATTTTATTTGATATTACTGAAGGCAAATAACTAAACTCAGCCCATAGCGTAAGGTAAGCTTTCAAACTATGTTTAAGAAGCATTCCTTGTAATGCAAGCACAACTAAAAAAACAGATGAGTTGCTGTGTTTAAATAAGATGGTATAATGTAAAATAAACACAGATCTGCATTTTTTAAGATGGGACAGCTGACATCTACTATACCAGATCTTTCACAATACCCTGTATGCATGTAATGGTAATATTATTCATCTGAGTCATCCTTGATTTTTACAGCTCCTAATCCAATCTGATGTGAACTTGATTTCACTGCAATAAAAAGCATTAAAAAAACAGCAGGAAAACAAAAAAAAAAGAGACATAAAAGTCAGGGTCAATTAAATAGGATCTTGAGCACCAAATATAAGCACCAAACTAAATATAATAACATGTTTCACCCTGACACCATTTCTTTCTTGCATGGTTCACAGACGTGCTTCCCTTTCACAGCTATACTATTTATTATTTGGGCATTCTTTACTGGTCATAGGGTTAATTAATTTTCAATGAACAGGGGTTCATTCATTTTAAAAAGTATTAACAAATTATACTTAGTAGACTTAGAAATATATTTAACGATAGTCAAAATACAAGGTATAGAACTGAATTGTACTTGCAGGCATTCATGTTGTGAATAGAATTTCAAAAGTAATGCATTATTGAACTGGAGGTTTCCATTAATCTGTTTTACCTGTGTGGTTTTTCTAATGAAAAAAGTGTTTATGCGTCTCAAAAAATATGTTCTAAAGTGTTTCTGTTTAAAAAAATATCAAAGCTTATGGTATTAACACTTTGTTTTCACTATAAAAAATCAATTAAACTGTTTAAACTGATTTTTCATTTGTAGATCTCCCTACATCATTTGCTTAGAATATAAATTTGGGACTATCATATATACTGTATGTCCAGTCCTTTCCTATAAGGATTTTCCAAAGAAATCACACCTACAGATTACAACATAGAAAGAAAAGATCTTCACCCTTTAAACATAAGGGTTACCGGTGAGTTACCGGTGCCTGATCATGCTGGACAGAAAAGAAAACACTTGTAAAATGCAAGGAAGCACACTTGAAAAATGAAAAGTGGACATCTGTTTTTGAGAGAGAGGGTTTTCTCAACAGAGGCCATCAGGAAAAAGTGATGATTCACTCAGATTTTTTTAGATTTGATTACATGAACTTCCTGGAGTACCTACAGTACAAACTACCATAAACCAGATGGGCATCACTGGACACAAGGGTCTTCATTAGTAACTTTTATTTTGCTGTTATACATGGAATATAAAGACTATAAACATGGAGCCAGAAGCAAAATGGAGAGCTCTAAAACAATGTTCTTCAAATGTGTTTCTAATTGATTTACAGCCCTGGATGTGCACTATGCTTCCTGTACGTCTAGTTTCTTTGTCACATAATTGTACATTTGTTGTTTCCTAACCATTTGTCTGCATTTGCAAGTTAAATGACAAAACCTTGGGGGATCAAGTCCATCAGTATGATATCCAAACTCGTCACTTCCTTTAAAATAAACTATTAACTTAATTGAAATCTCACTGTTAATGCACTGTTTCCTGCAAAGCACAAAGAATGAAGTGCCTCATCAAATCTTACACAAGAGTAACAGCAGTCCTGGGAGTTCAGGAAATGGTAACAGAGAGTGAATGCACACACAAACTGTCTATTTAATAGATTTAAACTACATGGTATAAACCCACATAGCAAACTTTAGTGGTAGTGACTTATTTCAGCTTACTAAAAGAGAAATAAAATGCATCTGGTTTCTATTAGACCCTATAAATTGGTATAGTCTAACATCTAATTAACAACGTAAATAAGCCAAGCACAGGGCTCACTATTGTTTTAACTTGTCTTTGAAGACAGATTTGCTACAATACAAGTGGGAAGAAAAATGCAAGTGGGATTTTGAAAAGAAAAATATCAATATTTATAATGATAACAAAAAATGATAGCTTCCAAAATAATTAACAAATAGCTTGTTAAACATATATCTATTCCATTAAGCCTGGGGGGAAAAAAACAACACATAAGCATTTATTCTTTTAATGATGACTCCATAGGTCTTAAGGTACATACAAGTTTTAATTTAATTTTTATTTTTTTCCCCCAAAGACAAAAATTCCCAGAAGTGTACTTGCATAACTACTTTCTCACAGTCATGTCTAATCTGGTAGAGAAGTACTATAGTGTATTTACTCCATATATCGGGATAATTAAGTCATCTTGTAAAATAACCAAAGTTAACCGAAGTACTCCCTAAAAACAAAGGAACAATTAACCATCTGTTTAGCTCTACAGCTTTATGCTTAGTTTTCAAATTCTGAATGTGTGGTCACCTTTGTTTCTGTCTTGGTTAAACAGATGAAATGATATGAGTCATGTACTGTTTCCTCTTGTTGTTACTCTTACTGTTGGGTAATCCTTTTATCTTCACCTTAGCTTGAGTCAACCAGTCATTTTACCTTCTTGTGTACAAAAAAGACATTTGTTATCATTTTGGTTTTGACATATCTAAGGGGTTCAATAATGAAAAATGCTGAACTTTCACACAGAATGTTAATCAGAAGAATAAATGAATAAATCTTATAAAAAGAGTCCTAAATGGCGTTCAACAGAGTATCAATGCATAAAAAACGCAAAAACCTTCAGGAAGCACAATGTTTTGCCCTGTTACACACAAATTATATTACCAGCAGCCATATCACCCTGCAACTCACAACTGGCATCCCACTGAAGCTCAGCAGGTGTGAACCTGGTCAGTACCTGGATGGGAGACCTCCTGGGAAAAACTAAGGTTGCTGCTGGAAGAGGTGTTAGTTGGGCAGGGGGCGCTCACCCGCGGTCTGTGTGGTTCCTAATGCCCCAATATAGTGACGGGGACACTATACTGTAAACAGGCGCTGTCCTTCGGATGAGACGTAAAACTGAGGTCCTGTCTCTCTGTGGTCATTAAAAATCCCAGGGTGTTTCTCGAAAAGAGTAGGGGTGTAACCCCGGCATCCTGGCCAAATTTCCCATTGGCCCTTACCAATCATGGCCTCCTTATAATCTCCATCTATGAATTGGTTTCATTACTCTGGTGTGTGGTGAGCATACTGGCACACCATGGCTGCCACTGCATCATCCAGGTGGATGCTGCACATTGGCCGTGGTGGAGGAAAAGCGCTATATAAGTGTAAGCAATTATTATTAATTAAGTTGTAACAATATCTATTGTTTTCGTGACTGGTTCCCTTGCTTAGAAAATGTGGTAAATGCCCCGTTTTCTGAAGCAAGTAAGGTAGTTTGTCAAAGACGGGGAAAAGGAGGGGTAAATTAAATATCTGAAACGATGACATTGCATATATGCATAATATACTTACCATTTGTGTTAATAGCAGGTAATACCACAGACATCTTGGGCCTGTTCCCCTTAATGTGATTTGTAGCAGGCAGAAGAAGGTGATCCTGAAACAAATGTTAGAATGCAAAGCTATGAATCATTTAAACAAGAAGCAGCATTATTTGCAGTATTAGAAGTATTTCCAGTAAACTAGCTACAGCACTGCAATTACACATGGAATCACAGCATTTCAAGGCAAAATGTGAAATTACATTTCGTGTGACCTATTTCCGGATCCAAGGCTGTCAATTTTCAAAAACTGTCAAACAGTCCCCCCTCCCCCCCACATTTGATAACGTGGTAAGAATAAGAGGGACAGTAAATTAAACCAAGTAATTACTAAATCTGTGAGATACTTTGCTATTCCTTCCATGTCTCGAGAGGGGGGTTCTTTGCCAAGTCAAACAGGGACTTGGAGAGCTGACATCATTGTCTCAGTCTGCCTGGCGAGGATGTGAGAAGACACACAGACCCGAGAGGGATGGGTTCTCTGGGTTAGCACATGAAATCTACTTTGGGTAGGGAAGAAACTGAACTAAAATAAAATCACCTAGTCACTGTGGTCTTTGTATCATATGAAAAAGCCAATGTGTTCAGATAGTGAACAGCTCCTTCATCCACCTTCTAAACTAACTGATTTCTGCAATACACAGTCGTGGGGGACTTGGGATCTATCCCAGCAAGCACAAGCCCCCCCCTTTTTTAAGAACCTGATAAGCATGTTTAAAAATACAAATGTAACTTAAAAGGGAACCTTCCATTAACATGTATGTGTACAGGGATGACCGAGATGTGGCAATATGGAAAAATTGCAAACAGGACAAAATTTCAAAAACCGCTGCAAAAACAGCACTACCGCGTTTCCCTTTAATCTTTTTTTTTTTCTCCCGCATTCCAATTAATTTCATTCAGGACCTGGTCAGCTTACTGCCATCTATGAATAACACCCAATATTTGGGGGGTGGATGTGCACATTCAAGTTTCTCCAAGACCCTAGCATATGGTTTTCAGCAGTTCTGAAGTATGTGAAAGTAGTCTTTGTTGTAATTTATTTTGCTAAAGTAAAAGATAAAAAAAAAGCCTCTGAACCAGTCGCTTCTCTCAGTTTACAGTCAGCAACCAGCTGTGTTAATCTCTCACCCCAGAGGCTACAGCTTAACCTACTGCTCACAGCTGCGATTGAGCACTGAGCAGGTCACATCCTTAACTCTCTGTAAATACAGTAGTGCAAACTGACATTGAAAACAGCCAGATTCAAGCTTAAAAAAAACAAACAGGTTGGAGTCTATTTCTTACATTGAAGTCCTGATACTAAAAGGAAGATAATGTATCATTATCAACATAAAAAAAAAAAAATTACAATATATTTCTCCACAACATGTTAGCTTTACAAAACATTCAATCTCTTCAATTAAGTAATTCACTGTTTTTCTGCCCCAGTTTCACAAGGCTGTGTTCTCTTATTCTTCCTGTAAAACAGACATCCTGTTTAAAGAAACTGTTGGTTCAAATCTTCTTTAATACTCAAAGGACTAATGCTGATTTTATTACCCATACCAAGGTAAAAAAAAACTTCAGCCGTTGGATAAAAACATCTATTGCAGTATGTGTTTGAATGTAGCGGAGATCTGGAATCTGTCCAGACTATAAATTTATTGCAGGCTAACGGGGTCCCAGAGGATAACTCCAGTAAGCAATCAGTGTTAAAAATGGAACTCTACTGGACAAAGAAAAATAGAATGGAAAAATAGAAACTCAAGACTCATTTATTTCTTTTTTTAAACACGAGTCTTTGACTGTCAGACACCCATTGTTATACAGCTGCATCCATGATCTCAGGGAGTTTTTTATTGTTTTCTATGATCCAAAAGCTGGGATGTCAAGGACTTGAGTAGATTCAAAAGGCTTAGAAATAACAACAGGACACAGGATATGTTTTAGAAGTGACCTACTACAACAAAATGGATTTCATGGAAAACCAAGCTTTGTACAAAAACATACTGTACCTCCATTTTTAGCCTATTTCTGTTGTTTTGTTCTCAGTGTATGATGACTTGGGCCTTGCATTTTCAAATCTACTTTCTCAATCCATCATCCTCAGGACATATGAACCGTGTAATGTGTCATCATTAAACTCTCATTCCGTTGTGTTATTCTAATCACTTCATGAGCTTTCCAACTACCACAAAGTACATAATTAACAGACAAATAAACAGCAAGATATAGCTACATTGTCTTGTAAAAGTATTAAACTCGTCCAATGTTGTCCCACTTCGTTGAATGACAAATTCTGTACACACGTTTTTTTTTTTTTACAGAGAATATTTTTAATCCAATAAGCACGATGCCTTGTGTTTGGGGTCATTGCCCTGCGGAAAGGTGAAGTAGCAGACTGAAGTGTTTTTTCCTCTAGAATTTGCCTGTGCATTGCTCTGTCTATACTGTCAGAACCAGCCCCATGACAACATACTGTACTTCCACCACCTTTCTCGACAGTGATGTCGAACAAATTGTGAACACATTGTTTTGAAGCTGAAAACACCATAAACCTTACATATAGCCCAAAGCAAATCTTCAAGATAATGACAATGCTAATAAAAAAAACAACTTTTAAATATGTGGTCTGAGCTATACGGTAAAATGGTCCTGAACACTACACTCCGAAGTAACACACAAAAAGACAAATTCACACACAAGCTTGCCAGTCCTCTTTCTCACAGTAACTTTAAAATAGATGCCCATGAGCTGCAGTTCCATGGGTCTGAGATTCCTTGGTATTAGCAGAGAAGTTCTCATCATGCTTCATAGGCTATCCTTACAGTATTTTTTAGATGGATAGGAAACAACAGCATTCAAAAATTTACAAAACGCCTGTATTGTATCTCAGTATTTTTTCAATTATTCTTATATTAAAAGATTATTACCCACCTAGGAACTGGTTTTGAAAGAGTTACATTCAGCCAGACGCTTGGCTCACTTCAGCTAGAAATTTCCACCTTTTGGAGAAGCCATTCCTATATTTGCATAGGCTGAAGGTAAAGTTGTATTTCTGACCAGAATCACCTTGAAAACCATAAGATCCAGCTCTATAGCAATGGATTCCTTCTACATCGTGAGTCTGTTGTTTCCATAGCAAATTCTGCCAGATGACAGGAAAACAATGAAATCTGATTCTTGCTCTGCTCATTCCATCAGCCATTGGAACTCTAAAATAAAACTTTCTACCTCTGCTGTCCCAGACTGTGCAGCTGCCATTACCCCTCCTTGCCCCTCAATAAAACGTCAGATGATACCATTCACAGCTCTAGTCAGTTGTCTCTCAATCACAGAATGGAAGGTATGCCTCATGATGATAAAACTCAAACAAGTTTCACAAGTACTTAAACTCAGACATTTAGAGAGATCCCAAGAAATAACCTAAAATGATAAATGTAAACTAGAAAGTATTCCTTGCTCCTCTTAAACATGCGAGAGCTTTGATTTGCAAACATGACAATGCAGGTCACCTTACTATCAACATTTACTATCAACAACAGAACCAAATAACTGTTAAAATTAAAACAATGTGTAGGCAACATGAAGCCCTCAAAGGCCAATGAGGACTAGAATAAAAGGAAATTAAAACCACAAGTGATTGTAAACTTGATACAAAGATGCTTGCTTGCAAAATACTTATTTGAGAGTATTTCTAATCCTGATTTTCTTAAAAATCAAAATTGTAGCATTGATTAAAATCAACACACATTGCAACATAACAGTGTGTTCTTTCACATTTGTAACTGCTAATTTATATTTAATTAGATCTGAATACATGGATCAATCAATTTAAGAATGCATGTGACGTTAATCAATTCAGCAAGCATCTTTTTCATCTCTAACGTGCTACACCATTAATGCACAAAAATCAAAATGAAGAAAAAAACAAGTCATGGGATAAATCATCACAGTATGTATTCCAGTAATATCAACAATATCTTAATATCATCTGTGGTTGGTAAATTGGATACTGTACTGAAAGATGTCCTGAAATATCTTCCAAATAAACAGGGTTAAAAGACCAGACTATTGAACTTTAAAAGCTGACCAGCAAAACCAGATCCAGAACATCTGTCTGACTAAGAAACTAACAATGTAAACTTTAAATAATGTATTTCAAACTGAATAACTCACTCAAACTTCCTAGGGTTGACTTCAATTCTCAAGAAAATGTATTATCTTAAGAATCCAACCAGTGAAAAATCCAAACACACCAGTTCCTGCGTTGGATCCTATTAAAGTCAAATAAGACATTCCAGGAAATACGTTGCGAAAGAAATAACACAAGAGCAAGACCCTTTGAAATAAAAGGTCAACAACTTTCATGCTACAGAACACACTTTTACACTTTAAAATATCTGGACCACAACACTACAGTCTCCCGTCTGACATACTACAACTTGCAAATGAACTCCAAAAAGTTTATTCTCATAAGGCCTTGAAATACTAGATGGTGTAGGAGACCGTGAAATGTTTCAAGAATTCGGGTGTGAAGTCATTCTTGGGCCCAAAAACGTTGAAAAGTCATCCATGAGGGATTTAATCACACCACTGCAGTGTGTTGTGAGGAAACACCCTTGGAAGAGTAGCACAAGAGGATATTTGATCCTCTGGCCAGCAGCAAAAGCAATAAGCGATCCTGACCTTTTCTGATCTGCCCCCAATATAGAAGAACAAACGAACATTTCAGATTGAGAAGTGAGAAAAAGAAACCACTAACAATGGTCTTAGATGAGTTTAAAAAGATTCTTAGTCCTTATCAAAGAAATATGACCCATTCGTTCATTGATAAGTATTCAGTAGGTTTGAAAGACACTGAAACCTAGTCTTCTTGCTGTCCAGCATGGAGGTGGAGTTCAGAGTTAGAAAAAAAAATGCATGTTAATGAAAGCTTTATTTCTGTCAGGATACTCTATATCTTGAAATGGCAGAAATGTCACACATCACAGAATAAGAACAGATAGGGTCAGTGGAGACTTTCTTTCTCATTTGACGAAAAGATTAAACAGCATTCGCCAGCAATGAGAGGAAATGGTGAAATTTGAAATCCTGGCATAGTTTCTGCTTTCCATAGGTGTCTGTCAATAGAAATTTCAAGGATAAATGACTCTCGTTCCTGTTAAGAAATCTGAGGCGAAGAAAATTGCTTGGAAGACCAATACATATGGAGATCAAGATTTGATGTTTTAAAATGGGTATATGCAGCATTGATCACTGCTATTCCTCACTGCATTACTGACACCACCGCTGGAGTTCTTACTACTCTCTACTACTACTACTACTACTACTCTTAATACTGCAACCCATGTAAAATGTACACAGTAATGTGGTAAAACCTCCAATTTACATCACAAAATATACAAAATTTAGAGGTATGCACAGCACATTATTGCCGTCATTATCTGCTATTCAGAAGGAGGCAACAAAAGTTCCGGGGACGTTAATTAGCCATATTACTTTGTAAAGAAGCAGGCTTATGAATACATCTCTTTTAATTCAATACAAATACTGCTCTCGACTTTGAGATAGTTTTGCCGACAATACTGCTTGCTTGTTAACTCTGCATGCAGATCACGCTGGAACATTTCTGCGGTGAAATGTCTGCCGGCACGACCTGGAATAATTTGCTTGTACATCGCATTACATGATGCATTACGGAGCAGGAAGGGCGGTTTAAGTCACAATCCATGCAAATCCGCGCTCTCGCCCGGGGCAAGACCAGCGGCTTGCGACAGCATGGCGACCATACGGTGCTGAATTCGGAATCAGTGCAATTTTGCGATACTGTTGCTTTGTTTTGTTACCAAGATTTATTAAAAAGTCTGAGAAATTGTGACTGCAGTTCCCCTTTAAGCTCTCACTGTGGAATCTATCAAACAGAAATCACACAGCTACACATTTGTATAGACTTACAGCTAGAGTCCCTGATATCTGAGACACTGAATATTTCGTATACTGTAAGTGGGAATGACAGCTCCTGTTAACCTTTTTTCAAATAACGCTGAAAAGTCACTCCTTACGCAAAAGTGAAAATTATACCTTTCAATGTATATACGGTTATGGCAGCAAAAGCCTTACAGTTAATAACAGCCTTTTTAATTAAAGAAAGCCAGGAAGCATGTCAAATTGTGAAAGACTATGAGGATTTTGGGTCAGAATATCTGTACCAAAATGTCACAGATATAAAGCACTTTGAGACTATTGTAACTGTGCTACAGTCCGACAAAATGTGTTATTGGAATATCAGTACAAAAATGACTTTGGGAAAAAATGCTGGTTAGTGTTGCAATGCAATTCTAATATTACCAATGATATATAATAACTCATTTCTTTATAGAAGCTACACCCTTCTGTCTACAGGGGCCTATAGTTTACACTAATAAATCAATGATGGAGTAAGGGTACATTGCTTTTAAGAGTCTGGCTTTGGATCAGTGGAACAAATAGCAAGATTCTTAAAATACTATGGTGTTTGCCGAGTTTCAAATCGCAGTTGTTATGTTTTACAGCAACCATGCATTATTTTTTCTTTTTAAGAACATCTGCTTTCTCACTTTAGCTTTCCTATTTAATTAAGAAACTGAACTTCAGAACACATCTTCTACACTGGTGTGAGCTCAGCAGTTCAATAAAATGATTTGCTGCAATTCTGGTTATAATCAGCTACAGTATGTTTAAGCACCGTTTAAAAGCTTACTGGGGGTTACAATTAAATATGCAAAAGCCAACAAAATATTTCGGCCCTGAAAGGCTAAGCTGAACTGTAAATTTCTTATAGGACTCAATTTTAAAACTAAAAGAATAAATGATAAAGACCAGCTGTGTGCTGAACACAGAAAAGGAATAATTTGAGTTGTTTTGATTGCTTACTTTAGTCTGAAAAATATACAAAAGTATTGGGGAAATTCCATTTGCACATGTTTATATGACCATATCATTGTAGCCTTTTAGTTTACAAGCCTTGAACTGACAACTAAATAAGTTTATTTGTTAAAAAGTGACCATAAACCATTATGATCTTTTAGTTTAGAAGTGTTAAGAAGTTAGAAGTTTTGTTTTAATATGGGGCCTTTGACTACTCACTGCTGCCCATGACCATACTGTATTCTTGTCATTAGGAGACTTGTGAAAAAGTATTTAGGTTTGCCAAGTACAAGTAGCTTTTAACAGAATACCAATGTAGTGACACACTACTGGCTAATGCTGTACTAGCAGTCCAGCCCATTCTCACAGATTAAGTAAGACACCTGTCAACAGCCAACGCTTTTTATGTGCAGCGTCAGGCTAACTTTTGGGTTATTTTTAATTTTTTAAATTTACGCGAGATATAACTTCAGACATAGAAGGTAAAAAATATACAGGCCCAGTGGGATTATGTGAAAACCATAAAAAAACAAAAAGTCTTAGAAACCTCTGTGGAAAATTTTATTTCATTATAATGGGGCATTTGGTGAAAAAGTCTTTCGAATGGTACTTGCAGTCTCACACGGCAGACATGACACAACTAAGGAAGACACTCAGAAATGCAAAAAGTGGATCTAAAAGCCTGTGTTCTCTAATTAACTTTTTATGGAGGTTTTAAATAATACCACAGGATGCAGTGAACATAAACAGCATTCACAAAAACAATAAAACTGCATAGCTGTACATACGGGTAGATAAAAACTACAGTCTAAACATGGGTTTTCAGTAGACACTAAAGTATAATCTGTTTCGTTATTATATCCTTTTCGGATGATTTTGCTGCACTTTAAAATAAAGCCTCAAATTGGGATTTAAGAAACATGCATACTTACCCTTCGAAATGACACCACATAGAAAGTATCTCCCCTGCGGTGAATCTCTTCGAAGAAATCATTGTAGCTCCGGTGAGGAGCGTAGTACACCTGTAACTCGCTCCCTGAGTTCCTGAGGGGATGAGTAAAGAAGCTGTACTGTATCATCATCATTATGAAATAATTTAACAGATGACTTTATTCCATGTAGGCAATTTGCAAATCAATGAAATGTGAAATATTAACTGTGCAAAAATATGTGACTTCAATAAAGGAAATCAGTTAATACAGAATAATTCCTGGTCTGAATGGAATTCCACTATCAGACTAGGGGAACTCAGTCTTTTTATCCATTTGATTTCCATGGGGATGTGATCTTTAAAACATACAAGGTAAAGAAATACAGTATTTAAAATCCAGAAAAGTGATGGACAAAGTCAACAAAGCAGACATCTTTAAAAAAATGCCACAACACAAGGACCTAGGGACACGAGTGAAAATTACATTGAGGTCTTTTCAAGACACAAAATAGAGAGACATCTTTACATGCAAGGTTTTGCAAATCATGCTGTAGGAGTCATGTGGTTGAAGCTGACTCTTCAAAAAAGATCACTAACTTACGAGCAATAGACAAGCAAGACAGGCTAAAAATGAGAGGAAGACTTTTATTCCTCCTTATGTTCTTATAAGACAGCTGGCATTCTTGCCCTGAATGCGCTCTATCATAGTACCAAAGGCAGACTATGTCAGAATGTTCACAGCTGCTACACTGCAAACATGAGTGATACGCTGCCTTGACTATTCCACGAACCACTTGCAAAGGGCACTATTGTGGGCTTTTGGCAAAATTATAGTACAGAACTTGTGGCAAGCCTTCCTGCTGAAGAAACAGAAATGTGGCCAGACCGTTGCTGTATGGTCATAAAAATGATATAAAGTGGGAAGCTGCCTGGACAATGTTCACAAAAAACACTCGGAAATGTGGAAGGTTAAAAATAAAGCAGAAACTATGAAATAGCATTAAACCTCGTCCTAACAATTATATGAATTGTGCAGTGTAATGGAAAATTGCAGACAAAACAACTGAACAATATGAAGTGAAAATAACCCTTGTAGGATTCACATCCCATTTTACACACATATCTGTAAAGCATTTACAAAAATTAAGGGAAAAACTGTAACCACAAAGATAGTCTGCAGTCAAGCCACTTACCCTACCAGAGCACACAGAGAAGTAAAACTGCAAAGTATGGATATCTACAACATAAGCAACCAAACGCAAAGGCTTGTTTTTATGATGCTCTATTTCACATTAGAAATGTTTAACAGAAGTAATCTTAAATAGAGTAATTTTATCAATTACCATACAACATCACAGAACTGTTTTTAATGATTTATTTTGAGATGTCAAGACAGGATTGAGCAAGCTGTACTTTATGGTTCATAGTTTTTACTGTAACTTGGTAAGTATACACATATTCATACATGGACATATTTTACAGATGGCCAACCTCAAGTGATTAAAATGAATTTAAATATATTTTTTAAAACAGTTCACTACCAACATGTAAGACTGGGGACATATACCAGGCCTACCAGAAAAAAAGGCTTACTTATCCAATGTGTCGGTGTACTGGACTCTAACAATCTGTGCGACTTCAGCCTTTTTCTCCTGGGCTTTCTAGAAAAGAAAAAACACAAAATTGAAAACAAATCCAGTGAACGGCAACGATATCTTTACTCTAATGAAAATAGATCAGGGTCCTCTCACTAAGCTCTATCCTATGTTTTTCTTTCCCCTGTTACATAATATCTTTCCACAGGTCTTTCTGCTTGTACTCAAGGGACTGGTGGGAGATTAACTTGAGCATCTGGGCACCATGCAAATGAACCTGGGATCAGTCATCAAACATTACTTTGATAAAAGTCATGGCTAGAACTGAATTCTGATTGGAGTATTTTGAACTACCTGTTTGTTCTTTTGCCAACTTCCATTTTGTCTCATGAATACAGCATATCAGGACAGAGCAGAGCTGTATGACCAACATGATCACTCACAGACTTCTCCACCACTATGCATTTCAGTAGCCCACAGAGCTTTGCAAGCAATGATGGAACGTGCATTGTGTCCTTTAAAGGCTTTTATAAGAGCATATAAAAAAAGTTTAACGATCTCTGACGTGACCCGGAATTAGACGGAATAGAATAAATACGACACTACAAGCTTTCTTTCCCAACATCCTTTGCCCAACCACCACCACCAAAGTGACCAACACTTTTGCGCCTTTTAAATGAGAGTCTCCATTGCCTTGTCCACATGACCACATTTTTCCACCTTCAATCCTAACATACTGTATCTTAATTTCATTTAATGTAATCGCATCAACTGGGATATGTCGGCATTTATCTGTAATAACACTGGGATTGTTAGATCAAATATCCAGTGAAAATACTGTAGCTAAGCGAAATGCTAATCACCCTCCCAGTTTTCTCTCCGAGCTGTGAAGTTTGTCTCACTTCCTGCCTGCCCTCACTGTGCCACACTCTCACCAGACTATGTAATACTCCGACAGCGAGACGTTTATAACCAAAGAAACTTTCATCGCAATGAACTACTGAAATAGTTTTTAAAAAAAAAAAAAATCTTATGTTTCCAAGTTATATGGCAAAAAGCAAAAATTATAAATGATTACTGAGAGGGGCATGTCTTTAGGGTGACAGCAAATGTTAGAGACAATCGTGCTGTCAGTTTATGAATAGGGAACAGCTGGACAAACATTTCTTAGGCTGCTTTCCAGGAACTGGGTTGTTTAGTAAGCTAAGACCTTGCCATTTCTCTGCACGCTACAATGTAGGTTGTTCTGCTGATGACTTGATAATGTTTCTTAGGTTAAAATATGCAACATTAGAGGCTCAAGGATGGTGTACAATTATAATACAGTACTATGACCAGAAAAATACCACCAGGCCACCAGTAACGCACTTAATTGCAACTTAAAGGTAACCAATAATTTACAAGGAGTTGATTTATAACTAACAACTGCAAATGCAAACAACAGTTCTTTCGGGCCAGAGTATATCCTAACTGTTTTGAAACTAATACCAGACTGGCTCCCACAAGGAAAGAGCTTTTGTATTTGTACACCATATTTTCCAGAAACAAAGGACTCCTAAGAGTCACGGGATGAGGACTGCGGGGGTTAAATTCTGTGGTTTCCAATAGTAACTGGAAACCATTCTAAAAGCTGAGCGAAAGCAAGGAGGCAGATTAAAGAGGATCAGTGAAGGAAGCCCTGTTTCCCTTAGGGGCCAGAAGAAAAGTGATCATGACAAATAGTTTTCAACCACCTGTTCCATGCTTCACGAAGAGTTTGTCTTCTCACAACAATTGTATTATGAAAGCAATCAGACCAAAGCAGTCAGCCCAACACTCAAACAGATAAAGTTAAAACATCAAGGTCTTTGGGGCTTTCCGTTTCGATAACGGTCCGACACGCAATGCTTCTATCTAAATAAACTGGCTCTGGTCCAAGTGGAGGAGAAACACGTTCCTTTTCAGAACACAGGAGCAAGCTTAAGTGACAAACCCATTGCAAATCAACTGCTGCAGCTTCACAACATATCAGGCATAGTTCAGATACATTAAGTATAAAACATAATAGGACAGCTGGTGCTTTTTAACGGAATCGTATTTACTGTGGAGTGGCATGATGGTTAGCTTTGCTGCCTCACAGCTCTAGAGCTTTGGGTTAAACTCTTGGGATGCTATCTGTGTGGAGACTGTATGTTCTCCCTGTGTTTGTGTGGGTTTCCTCCTGCAGGCCAAAAACATACTGGTAGGTTCACTGGTTTCTGGGAAAAATTGGCCTTGGTTGCGAGTTTGTGTTTGTGTCTGTGTGTGTCCTGCGATGGACTGGTGTCCCATCCCGGGTGTACCCTGCTTTGCACCCCCTGTTTGACGGGATATGCCCTGGCTCCCCCTGGATAAAATGGTAAGAAAATGGACAGATGTTCGATGGACTGTTTCCAGCTACACATAAAACATCTAAATTCAGTAGAACAAAAAGTCTACCCTTCAACCTTCACCTCGATCTATTTTTGTAGAATTTAGTTACGTACTGAACAGATTATCATCAAATAGCTTATCCTGCCTGTAATCTGTCTTCATATTAGATATTTCAAATGTTGCACAGTAGTGCTCCAAATTGTACTAAAAAGGCAGTCATTAATGATGCCTTAAATACATTTTTTAAACCTTCACACCACAACACTCATATACAGTAACTACTCAGTGAGATTAGAAAACATAATGTCAGGACATGAAAGAAACTAATTCATTATAATATAAAAGTTCTAAAAAAAAATAATTATTCTAAAATGTCTAATTTTTATAATTGTATATGTAGCCCACATGAATTACTGAGAATATTATAATTGTGCTCAGCGGGATTTAAAATACTACAGTCATAAATGTGTCTAGTTAACCTGTTTAACCTACCTATTAAGATAATGACTACAAGCTGTTTTGAGGGAAAAAATAAGTTGCAATGGGATTTGCAATCACATTTTCTGAATATGTAGTACCAAATTAAACTTGTACATCTCAAAAATACAAACTAGCGACTGTATACCAAAACTATTTGTACCAGGAGTCTTTTATACTGATGGTGGTTTATCTCTGTTCACTGAACATCTGCTAAATGTGGTCATAAAACTGACTGCAAAATTGAATATTTAAACCATTTAACTTCCCCTAAGATTAAAAATACCATGACTCATTTAAACCACTTTCACATTAGTAACATACTAATTACAAAACAGATATTAAAAACATTTCACAAAAGGCAGTAAAAAGCAAGACTTTGTGCAAGAATTACTCACTAAATGTTTGAGCAAGAATACTCACATAGTATTCTTAGTGAAAACAATTTCAATATAAAAAACAAAGTTAGCTTAATCAGAGTGAACTGCTAAAAAACATGTTTTAATTTTCTACAATAAATGGACCACATCTCAGACTAACTCAGATTGAAAGCAGCTACAATACAACCAATCACATGCTTTAAAAACAAGATATCCTTTGCATCCTTTTAAGTTCAGTGATCAAATGCTTTAATGAAAACAAGGGTTGTATTCTACGAAACCAGCCATTTTCCTCTTGTTGTCACCACAAAGCTGCCTAGAGCCATAAAGGAACTTGCAGAACTGCCCGTGAATGATTTGAATTCTGAAAAAGGGTATGCTTGTTTTATACATCTGGTTGTAGAAAGCTTTTGCCTTCAGGTTCAGTAGAAGCATTATTTCACTGAAAAATATTCAAACTAGCGTACAGTGCAGTGGAAAGCATGTTGTAGCTATTTTTTTACCTACTGTGTTCGTAACAAATGGAATACCTATTGTAGTTGAGACCTTTTTCAGCAAAATGCACGCAAGTCCATATTACTTGACATTACTCTTATTATACCGCTTTTTTAAAACGTCAGCATGAATTCAGAAATGTCCGGAAAAGTTTAATGACAGGAAAGACTGTACAGACCAACATCCTAACTGAATAAAATAAAGGAGCTCTTTCAATAAATCCATCATTCCCAGTTTGTTCCTTGCTGGTTCTTGTTTCTGTTATTTTCAGAGAATTCCTTGAAATTCAAGATCACCTTGATTTCACTTGTACCTGCGCAATTCTTTAGAAGAAAGACACAATGGTTCATTGTTTCTAAACATGGTTCCTACATACAAAATAAAGCTTCACCGGGATATTTAGTTTGATGGAGAACTTTAGAATGACTACAAACGAGAGGAGGCCATTTTGTCCATCTGGCCTGCTTGTCAGCGAGTTTCTTGGGTTTCATGATATCATGTTTCTTGTAGGAAACCATGGTATTGGCTTCAACAACATGGCTGGGTAGCTTTCTCCTTTCTCCTTTCTCCCAGCTTAGCCTTTTTTATGAAGTTTCTGTTCTTAGTTTGTGGTTCTCATGCTTATCAGGATCCAAATAATGTTCAACTACCTTAGTTACCATCAAGACTGTTTAATCTTGTTTAAAGGTTTGAACAGGATATCAAAGTAAAAAGGCCTGTGAATAAGAAAACTTATTTTGTGACTTGCAGGAAACCTTCTGCATGACATTTGGTTTCATTAAACCGCTGTTGACACAAGCAAAAAGCAATTTCAAACTGCAAAGTCAACCACATTCTTCTCCTGAAATATGCTGGATACCAAAATCAGTGCTGCATAACTACCAAACTTGTTCTAGCAAAAGATTCTTAGGCAACAGATTTCAGTTTAACCTGAATAGTGTCATTGTCAACAATGGCAACACCAGTTAAACAAACACTGGCTATAGAAATGGAAAAAAAAGCAGCCTATAGTGGGCTCCTAATTAAAAAAATAATAATCTCCAATTTGTAGGATTACATTGCACTTCACAAAAACATGCATATGAGCACACAAAGCTCTATTCTAAACTGCCAGTCAAAAAAAATAAAATTCTAAACTACTGTTTCTGAAATACAAACAACATTTTTCAGCTCACAAAATACTTTCAAGAAGGTTTTTTCCATGAGAACTCCGTAACAATATGTAAAAAATGAAAAAAGAAATCACTAGGTACCAATCACTTAATTATGAGGGCCTATTCTGTAAACTAAACCCTTTTTAAACTTCCATCTTAATTATTTTTATTAAAGGTCAGGCACATATAACTGCAAACAGTAGTTGCAACTTAGTTCAAAACAACAGCTTGTGGCAACGCCCATGTTCCTTATTTGAAAAACAAGCTGCAAAGTTATGAATATGGACAGTGCTTAATCTAGACGCTGTACAAGACCACACATCATACCGTCATTGTTTTTGTTTTGTGCTGGTGGTTTGTCATTCTTCGGGATTTTGTCCGTTCCACCTCATGACGATGAACCCAGCCACGCAGTTCGTGAGCCAGCCTGCAGGAGAGATGTAAGCAATACTATAGCTCGTATACAGCTAACATAAGTAAAAACATTAGGAGAATCTGGATTGAATTTGGTTAAAAAATAACGATTTAAGCCCACCAATTAGAAAAGAGAAGGCATTTGTGTATTTGTCCGTCAGTTGTTCCACTCAGAAACCCTTTCTAGCTTATTAACAGAAAGCTTCTCTCTTTACGTGGGATTTGCTTTTGTTGTCAAACAGCCAGGACTGTATGAAACTTTCAAGCCCCTGGAGCTATGCATAGAGGTGGAAATAATGGTTTGAGGATTAAAACAAGATCAGTGTGACTAATTCTTTAAAATCAAGGAACTCTTTACCAACATGTGCAGAAAACATTATGGCAGAAACAATCACAAAAAGAAATATTTAGAAGCTTCCAACTTTGCATTCAATCACAGATTCAAAAATCATATATGTAGTAATGCCACTTAATTTTGACAAAACTAAAATTCTGTCATTAATGAGGACGATAAAGTATAGTACTTTAAAGCACAGGACAGTAGGGTCTCTACATCTACGAATTTAACATGCACAAATTTGCGATTCGATCTTGACTATGGGGTCTTGCATGGGAGCAGGGTGGCATGAGCCCGAGTCAAAAGGTAGTGAAGCACAACTTTCAAATTAGTCACGCCACAGACTGTGATCACAAATCTAGCCAGTTTGAGAGCCTCTCCCTGTCCCCTGCTCAAGTACCCACTACCCAACACCTGCATCGCAACGTGGTCTTATTTCTGTACTGTAACGAACACTCCAGGTTCTGTGTCGGAGGTGTGGGGAATGACAATCTGGAGATTACTTTATAGGCTCACAGCCATTTATATAGCCCTTTCCACTACACTGAAGTGCGTACTAATCATGGAGGTAGCGAGAGAAAGGGCAGGCATCCGTTGGACACAGAGGAGGAATTCATGTTGTTTATTTTAACTGATTGCGAGACGTTTGTGATTACTGTTGTTCCTTTTAGTTGATCAAGGTTATTTTCATTAACTTAAAGCCAATACTTTAGTATGCAAATTATCATATAAGGGAGGATTACTTAAGTCTTTTAATCATACATACTACACAATGTACTACAATAACCCAATGGTATAAGGGTAGAATCAGTTATATGAGAATTCGCCCATTCACCACAGTTCTCTGCACCGGAGCCTCGAGAATGTCGAACCCCCTCTGTACTGCAAACCACCTGATGAGCTTAGGGTAAGGACAACAAAAGAGGATCCAGACAAATTGAGAAGGAAAGGAAAGCGGAGCAGAGCAGACCGGTGGCTCTGTGGCTAAGGATCTGCGCCTGTGGCTGGAAGGTTACTGGTTCAAATCCCGCAGCTGGCAGAGGAATCCTACTCTGTTGGGCCCCTGAGCAAGGCCCTTAACCCCAACTGCTCCAGGGGCGCTGTACAACAGCTGACCCTGCACTTTGACACCAAGCTTCTCTCCCTGTCTGTGTCTCATGGAGAGCAAGCTGGGGTTTGCGAAAAGACAAATTCCAAATGCAAGAAATTGTACAGGGCTAATAAAGTGATGTTATGTGTCATTAGAAAGACATCGATAGGCTCAGCACTGACTTGATAGACTTGGTTCTGTTGATGGGGGGCTGACAAGGAAGAGGAGGGACAAACAAAAGGGGCTCCTTCTTCACCACCATGAGAGCCTTCTTCTCCAAGGGAGCACTTTCAGACCTTCAGGGAAAAAAAAAAAAAAGACGCCACGCAGTTAACCAGGAATCCAACTCTGCATCATCATTCTTGGCTTTTGTATTTCTTATTGAGAGCTTTTTATTTGCAGTTCTTCTGGTTTGTTTCGCATTAAATCTAAAAATGGGCATTTGTAAACTTTAACAATGCCAGATCTGAACTGCTATAGATGAATTCGGAATGCTAAACTTTTTTTTTTTGGATCAATGCACAGCAAAAGTAGCTTTAGTCTGTGAGGAAGAAACACATTTTTGAATGTGTTCACACTTATATATTTCCCCTTTTATGAGACAATTTTTCCAAACTGTACATATAATTTTGGGTCTATGAACATCTGTTGGGATGAAGCTTTGTTCTGTTAGCCAATGCTGAGGAGTTGGATGTCACATATATTTGAAGCGATATATTTAGCCAAGCTTCGTTTATTTAGATAGGCAAATTTCAATCTGGAGGCAATCAAACATATGGTAATTCCCAGCTGCCAGAAAGCACATCAGCACAGAATTTCAGCAAATCTAATGCTCTTATCATTTAATGCCAGAGGTGTTTTCTCATACCAAAGGTAAAGAGCCATTAAAAACACTGTAAATTACACCATTATTAACAGGAGTGACACTGACTTGTATAAAGAGCATGCAGACACATGATCTACTAGATAACATCCAATCCTATATAAAAAAGCCAAACTTTATGGAGCATAGGTCTAAATAATTGAATTTAAAGGGGGACGTAAACTTAATTCTTTATAAACTACCAAATAAAATGCAAAGAACAAGCAAAAGTAAATAGAAAGCAAATGTTTTCTTATTTGTACAGAAAAGAAGAATTAAGCTGAAAACAGCCATCTTTATGAAGAAGTTCTAGCAGATAAGCATCAGCATGCATAGGCTGTAAAGGAACAAGTAAGGGTTTATTCCATGCTGAAAAGAAAAGAAAGACAACGTTTCGGCTGTGGTGCCTTCTTCAGGTGTGTTTTGAAACATTGTCTCTTTTCAGCAATTTATTACCCAGGCAAAAAGACCTGGCTACAATTTTTCAATATAACTGCTACAAGGTGCATTTCATTAATGACTAAGAGAGTGGATGGTACTGTAGGATATTGCTGACTGGAAATATGGAGTAAAGCTGAAGTTTTATACCGTTAAATACTTGACAGGATTCAGGGATTAGTGTAGTGATGTGAAAATAAGCTTTTGCTTAGATACCTTAGATAAAGGTAAGTCTGTACTCAATCCGTGTGGCTTATGCTGGTGTTATATTATCTGAAACATTAAGCAGACTGAGAGCATGCTGTTCATCCCTGGATGTGATACTAGTCGATTGGAAGGTTACTTAGGGCAGTGCTGTATCTATTTGTGAAACTGGGGAAAGCTCAGAGTTATAACCGCAGCGTCCCCTGCAGGCTCTCAAACTCACTGCCTTCTAGGTGGGAGTGCAGAGCCCCATCGTGACTCTTTGTTTCCCCCTAAAGCTTGGAAGATACCACCTGCACTCCCCCTCACCACCACCACTGCTACCACCTCTCACATTCCTTGAAGCAGTGAGGAGAAACAGAAGTGAAACAAGAGAAAATGTAGAACCAATAACAAACAAATCTCTCTTAGTGGATGGATGTCACCGTCTCACGTCAATTTCCGTTGTGCAGAGTGTTTTAAAGAGTTTTGCTCCTGGTCAGAATTTTAATGGTAATAGTAGACAATTCAGACATATTTTAGATTGTTCAAGACACAGAAGTAAAGCGGCAAAAAGCACCCAAGCACTCTTTTGTCTTCATAATCTTATGGCCTTCATTCTCAGGCTAGAATTACTTTGTAACAGTATGTTTTGCTATCTAATCTGCACACCACCGTAGACATCACAAACCACTGCTCCAGCCTGTTGCTAAGCATCCTGCCATCAGTGGTGAAGCCAATCTGCACAGATTGGGCACAGTGGTTTCTGGACTTCAAACTATGATAATTTGCCTGCATATAAGCTAAGACCATTTGATCAGCTTTCGCGTGTAATTCTTCCTTTCCTGGCAACAGCCATCACTAACAGTCATGTTTAATGGGAAATGCCAGCACAGAGAGTCAGAAGCATTGTGAAACTTAGCTTAAGCAATAAAAAAAAACTAGGATATGGTTATATAACTTCTCACCCAGTTCAGTGACTATTAATACTAGTTCTTCCCTTCCCTTTATTACATAATCATCATTCATAATGTTGTTTTTCCATGGTTGAGGATAAGTGATTAAGTTTATATTACAGTCAGTATATTTAGTGGTTGACCAAATAAAGACACAAATTGCAAAGGAAATCCGCTTCGTAAACACACGGCATCTTTAAGTTTAACACAGGATTAATTTTAGATGGGAAACAAACTTAAACCAATTTAAAAAAAAAAAAACTGTACACCGTGTTTAACACTTTCCTTAATAAAGACAGCTTTATTAAGGTCTTTTTCTATCAGGATTTTAACTATTATTGCCATTCTTAAGATCATTGCTAATCAAAACAAATGTAAAAGCACTCTGCTCATTTTCATTAACTTTTTGAAGTAATGCTAAGTAGATTGATCTCTTATTATATTTCTTTCCCTCACCCATCACCCCCGAATTTCCAAGCTGTTCTCATATCTGGTCTTGGCACACAGAAGGTATGAGGTCTGGTACACTCTCCTCTGTAATGTGCATTGTCAGGCCATTCGCAGTTTTTCACAGCGCAAGTCCCAAAGCGCCCAAAGCTTCAGAGTTAGAGACAATTAGAAGGCCAGTGTGACACTCAGTGATAACACAACAAGCCCACAGGAGCCCAACAGGACACAGGGGAAATTGCTGAAAGATGAGTGATACAACTCGCGGTGATTTTCTTACAATTATGGACATGAAGGCTACGACCGAAAACCCTGGGAATGGGAAAAGTCGTGTAGTGTGACGCCGGGTTAATTCTGGCAGAATTGTTTCGAGAATTTGATCGATAACATTCCAGACCAGAATCGGTAATGTCTGAACTGAAAGAATGAATACAGTTCGTGCTTCAAACAAATACCTTTACTGGTATTCCAAAGGCTTGTGTTAATGACCTAATAGTGCTTAAAACTATGTACATGTTCATTATGTAAACCCAAAAGATCATGAAAAAGCAAGAGGTTACAAAATGAAGATCTCTTAGAGATTTCAACATTTTGGTGAAAATGCTCTGTAGAAAAATGTTACAAAAGTTTTATAATTTCATATAGCTGTTTGATCTGCTGAACACCATCCAATCATAACGAATTGCTGAAAAAACAGCTCTTAGCAATTTTTTTCCAAGCGCTAAAAAATAATAACCCCTGACTTTCCATATACTTTCACAGACTTCTGCTTCGACCAGTGGTGTATAATTACCTGTCATATGTTTGAGGAATGACAATTTCAGGAGTTTCCGCAATTCTGGTGTTCTCATTTTCTGGGGAGAACTCAAGCAGATGTCTGCTGTTGTGTACAGCACCGGTGGGAATCTTAGATTTGGAGTCTTGATCAAATAAACTGTGGGGAGAAAAAGTTAAATAAAGCAGAAATTCATAAGGACAATAAAAAAAAAATAACCAGCAACAAAATTTTAAACAACACAACATTGGCCAATGGAATCCCGGTTTAATTATAAATGACTATGTAAAGATTTAACTATTGAACCTCTGTGTAATGTTTTGTATTCATAGCCACAAGTGAATCATCTCTTTGGTTAATTGAAATATGCAAACCTTTTAGATTTCATTTGAAATGAAATTTACTAAGCCAATCATAACATTTTTAATATGGTTTACAGTAATCAGGCGTAAAACTGCATCTATAGTTAAATTTGAATACTTTATCAGCACTGAAGTATTGTCTGGTATTGCAGTATGGTTTTATGAAGAGTGTATTAAAAATGTATTTCTTACATAAAATAAATCAAATTAAGAGAAATGATCAACATTGGCTCAAAAACTGTATTCTTAAATCTTTCAACATTGGGTTGGGGGGGGAATGTTGGGGTTACACCATCAGAAATTATTTGATACTAATAAAAGCTAAGATCTAGAAATTATCCAGTGTTTTTTTTAATATGAGTTTAAATTTATTAAAGGGATCTGCAATATGTGAAGAGGAGAGCAGTATTTACATGTTGTTAAATAACTAATAGGCTTCCGTGTGTGGGAAACTATGAACCTAACTGCAGAAGGACAGCGAGTTTGAAATATTTATTGGTTTAAAACAGAAAACAAATGAGTGACACAAATTATACTGTTATAACTAGCATTATTAGTGAGGTCAGAAATTATGTATTGCTGATCTTGCTAATTTCGAAAAATGATCTACGGCAAAACCAAAAATTACACTTCATGCTCTTCTACTTTAAATTTATAGCCTTTTCACTTTAAATTAATAGATGTATATAGCTACACGATGTTTTTCAACCCAACCACCGTAAAACCTAGGAAAATTATTAATGAGACCCCATATAAAGGTCTATGAATTAATTAAAAAAGCACTACGTTTAAGCTAACATCACTGTATACACTAATTAAAAAAAATAATCAAGATGGAAAGGGAAAATTAGACATGGCTAGGAAACAGAAAGAGAAACAGAAAACCATAAACAAATGAAATCAGCACACAAGTGCCTGAAGTGTTTATTCTGAAATACATTAGCACTGGTCTGCAGCATCAGAAAAACCTCTGGTATGAAAGTAAAGATAATTAGACAAGATTAATTTTATCCCAAACTGTAACTGAGGCATATTAAACATAACATGGATCATAATTTCAAAAACCAAAATGTTTATACTCAATCTTTCACATTTTCTAATTCTGTTAGCATAGCATTAAGTTAATCTTTTTAAAACCACAGATTTGGCCTGAAGATAAGTTTTCCTCTTACAAAAAATAATTTATAAATCAAGACATTCTTACATATATGCTAGCTATTTTCATCAAGTAATACCCATATGGATTACGGTGTTAAAAATGACATTTTCTTAAGTAAACTTTTATCTAAAAAACAAAAACAAAATCTCTTTGCACTTAACAGTAGACTGCACATTCCTTATTCCTCTAAAACTGAGAGCATGGAAATTCCCAGTCACACTGCTCTCCTCCATCTTTCCAAAACTTCATTAAAACTTTTTTTTAGGTTTTATTGTAAGCGATCATTTTTTGCCAAAAGCAAAAAAGGAAAGGTAGTCTATACAGTTCGTCTGGAAATAATGCTACAGCTGCTAAAGCAAGGGACATTTGCAAACACTTAATTAGAACAGGGCTATATTTAACTGTCACCTTTTGTTTTTAGCATCCTGCATTCATTTCAATTCAAACTGAAGATGTAAAAAAAGGTATATCTTTTATGACCAAAAATTCTAGCGTAAATCACAATTACCACTCATTACTGGCAACTATGGCAATGCTCCATCAAAAACTGTCTTTAGAATAATGCCTATTTCCCCAAACTGTGCCCAAGTAAATGATCTGAAGTAACACTAACTGACTGAGGTGAAGCAGAGCACATTCTGAAGTTATTTTCTAGTAATGGGCTCTCTTCTGAAGGAGCAACTATTTTAAATCTTTCCATACAAGCTCCTTAATCTTGGTATGCTTTCTATTGAAAACTCTACAACAGAACAAGGTTAGCTTTTTAACTGACCTACAACTATTACATTACTATAATGAATAGCAAATGCATTCTTGACCTATAATTCCTTTGTCTAACCCCCCTTAAAATAACCAATACCAACATTTCTCAACAGTCAAAGTCAACTCGGGTTTTAATAGAATATATCCCTACACTGTCATATTAATTGGGGTACATTAGGCACTCAGTAATCCCTTCTAATTAAATAGACTTGAAAGGCATGATTTACAAATTGTCATCCTTCAGGTTTCAACTGGATTTTACTCCTCTTTCGCTGGGGGAAAGTTTAGCCAGATTGCTTATTGAACACAGATGATTTTAAAATAGTAAAATAGTAACGTAAATACTTACCTTATTGGACCACTATTCAGCATAACAAACGCCAAGACCACCATGACACACACCGCTCGTCTTTTAGGTGCTGTCACTTTAAGAATCTTGTTCTACAAAGAAAACCCCAATTAGACCCATCAGTCCAAGATGCTTGCATGGAGTAAATCAGTTTATTATCAGACATTATTTAAGTCTGTGCCCGGCCTAAGCCATCTGCAACCATGACGGCCGTTAATGCAACACACAAGTGTCAGAATGCCCTCAGGTTAGGGTTGGGATTAGTCCGCCAAGGCTCTTGGACAAACAAATTCTGTGGCTTGCTGGGTACCGGCACGTTTGTAGTGATGTCAAGGACAGATGCATGACATCTCCAATGCACCTCTCCAGTCAGACACTGTGGAGTTCACGGCATGTTCCCAGCGACAAATGGCTCCTTCTCTCCTGAGTGTGCACAGGAGTCACTGCAGGACAGGCAGGTCTAAAAACAATCGCCAGCTCTACACTGGGCGGTTACGCGATTAAAAACAATTGTCGAACAATTTTTTTAAAAAAAAAACAACACTGAGAGCTACTGAAACTTTTTGTTTTTCAGGTCACAGCTGAAACAGTGATTAATTGCCAAGTTGCAACCGCCGCTGACCCAAAGTCAAGCCTTCTGCGTCGAAAGCCCCCGCGCGGTATTGGCCGGTCTGTGGCGAATGTTTTCGTTCTTACCTCGGTCAGAAGCCCTTCGAGCTGCTTCTTCAGGGAGCCATTCTCGTTCTTGAGGTTTTCGTTCTCGGACAACGCCATTTTCAGCCTGGCCTCCAGGGTCAGCAAATACTCCTTCTTCTTCTTCCGAGACAAGGAGGCCGACTCCCGGTTTTTAACCATCCTCTGTTGCCTCCTCATCACACTTGTCTGGGGGGGGGAGGGGGAGAATATACATTTCTTCAAAATACAGGGTCAGTCAAAATGTTGTCGACAAGTATAAATGCCAATTATTTCACGAACGTTTAGTTTATTCCTCCAAAGATGGCACAGGATAATAAGGTAACTGTTAGGAACTTTGATATTTATGCTTTTGTTTGAAACCTTTTTTTGTCACAGTAACCCATGTAATTAATTTGTAATAAACTGTCAAAGTTGTCCACCGCATTTTGATTAACCCTGTTCATGCACTGAAGGGGTTTGAACACTTTCGGCAAATTTGAGATTCAAGGACAACAACCTTCACCCAGTGCTTTCAAAAACAAACAGGCAGCCATTAACGCAGCTCAAGAAACATACTTAAAATTAATCAATGCAAACCTATGTCTTTCAAAGACAGTTTTGCGTCACATACTTTGAGCTGCAAGGCTGTATTCAATATGATTGTTACATAAAAACACAACGAGTGAAGGAAAAACCAATCATTTAAAATAAACGTTCGTTCAGCCACAATGAACATGAATTTCCCATCAATTTAATGGGAGCTGTGAAACATTTAAAAAATAAAAACAACATTTCTCCAGAAATAACTGGAACAGGCAGGCATATTGAAGGCAGCTTGTCTTTAATTTCTCCGCTGCTGTACAGGGCCTGAAAGAAGAGGTGAACTGAATTCAAGGTGAAGAACTGGAACCTGAACAATCTTTGGCACTTCATGGCCACACTCTCCAGCTGCATAACTTTTAGTAGTTTAGAGCACTGGACAGTGTAGCAGCACCTCCATAACAGGTGTTGAAGTACATTAAGCTAAGATGGAAAAAATTACAGGAAATCATAAGCTCACGAATGGGCAGCAAATGTGAAACAATATTAATGACTCCAACATGTGTCAAAATACCTCATATGAAATAATTCAAAACCTTTTTTTTTCCCATTCACTGCACGGTTGGTTGTACAAGGGTAGACTATTTTATGTCTGCTTGGCAAATTATTTCCTGTCCATTAAAAATAATGTATTAAAAAAAAAACAATGTTAAAAACAACTTATTTTCCCTTGCACGTGCTACAATGGAGCTGAAGGCTGCCAAATATCCAAAGCCTGCATTTCATCATAAATCTAACCTAGAAACAGAAGTGACATTTTTAGGAAAGCTGCTGATCTAACATGTCAGAGTGACAAGTAATAAAATGCACGACTTTAAGTAAAAACGAATCTGCAAAGGTATTCCAGACATATGCAGCTCTCAAGTTATTTGGGACCAGAAAGAACAACATATTAAAATATGTTTTATACATATTTTATACTGTTTTATACTCTTAAAATATCACAATCGTATAATTCACGCAACAGGATGGGAGCTTTTACCTACTTTATCTTTAAGGTCCTGTTAATTCAGGCCATTAACATAGTATAAGTCTGTTTCAGTTGTCATTTGAGATGCAGTTATATATTTAGGCCTTGGTGAAATTAATGAAGGTTTGTTATGTGCACCACAGCAGGAAAACTGTATTTTTTCTCTGGCAAGTGTGCCCTTTTCCTAGAACCAAAGGTGTTTCCTGAAAGAGCCATAGTCTACAAATCTGAAAAGATATTTGGTACTGAACACTGAAAAACAAAATGTAGACAGACTTTTTTTTTAAAACTGTTTTCATCCTGCTTCAGTATTCAAAAAGACGTATATTGAAGAAGTTTTTATATGAATAAAATTTTTCCAGAACCAAAAATGTGTTGCGGTGAGCTCTCATATGGTATAGAGATCCATTTTTTTCAAATTAAACATTGCTAATGCATCTTCCAGAGCAGATAATATTTCAGGGCTAAAGAACTACCTTTCAGAAAAGGAAGGAACAAGCAGAATCGGGAGCTTTAAATCTTTAAGCACCTCTGAAGCCTCAGGCAGAAGTACCTCTTTTTTTAATGCCCTATTTATTATTGATCTAAAGATTACAAAGCATTTAACTGATTTAATTAAAGCAGACCAATTCAGTCATTTACAGATTATTCCTGACATGTTTATGAGCAGGTGAGGAGTGTTAGTTGAACTTTGCTTTACAATCTGTTGGCAATACCCATTCAGAAAAGGATGAAAGCAAAAAATAAGACACTCCAGGCCTTTCTATATGCACAATATTCTTAGCTCTGGTTAGTGTCAAATGATTATTTTACACAGATTTATTTGTAAGGATATGCTCGGGTTTTCAAAAAACATGACAAAGTTGAAGTCAACCATTGAATAATGCATTTTGTAAAAATAAACATCACTTCAGCCTTGTGTTTAAAAGGGTACAGCACACTTAGCTTGGGAATAAAATAAAGGAATAAAATGGCCAGACGGCTTGTCAGAATGGCACATTCCAAAGGAAAAAAAAGCTTCTAAGCCGTGAAACAAAGAAATGCAGTGAGGGTCTCATCTCCATTTGTATGCTTAATCAACTGTTACAATCTCTGGTCTCTAGCTTTACCCAGCTTTGAAATGGGAGACCTTATAATAAGAGTTTTAGAATTCTAATAGCTTCTGCTATAAAGTTATTTGAATTCCAACCACAACGTTTTAATCAGTCTCCTAAGAAACCATTTAGTCTGGGACCACTGCCACTGTAAGGTCCTGGGAACAAGACGACTGTTTAGCTACAAAATTAAGGCTGGGTTCTGTACCCACATCCCAAAAGTAGTACCTTGCACAATTATTATAATAACATTCTCTGCCCCTTTTAAAGAATGAGCCCTGAAACAGGAGTCAGCAGAATTTTGTAACTGTAAGCAGTGAAAGAAATGGCTTGTCCGATTGTGCAAGTCTGGGCTGAAAGGGTAAACAAAAATCGTGATTTGTGTGAATAATACCAGTACTATATCATCATTATTTTCTATGTTTGAAACTGGAGAGCATGGGAAAATACAGATACAAAAGGAGACTTAGTATAAGCCTATTTTAGATATTCAATAAAAAATGTGTCAACAATGGAAGAAATAGCGGCAGGCAAGATTTAAAACGCAAGTGTCCAATCTGGGTCCTGGAAGTCCAATGCGTTTCCAAGTTTTCCAGTGCATTGCTGTCTTAACTAGGACCAAACTGGTATTTTCTTTCCCAGCTCTACCAGTACTGGTGCTTTATAGAGACCTAGAAAACATACAGTCTCCCTCCAGGGCCTTGACAGGATTGGACACCTCCGTTATAAAACCACTGTCCTCCTGACCCTACAAAGCATGATGAACATTGTGTGACCATGCATCTATAGAATGAGTCCACGGAGACTGGACTATTGCTAAACATATTAAAGCCATCTTACAATATCTTGGTATATCTTGTATTATAGTATAAAAAATTATGTACCTTAATGCATTGTTCAACTTTTTACCTGATAATTTTCTGGGATCTATTCCAATCTTATATGTTTAAACAGTCTAATTCAGCAGTTCCTTGGCCACCTGCTCCTACTGCTCTCTTCGTTTATGCACCCTTGTGTTGAATACACTACTGCAGGCGATGTGTCAAATATTCAACAGGATTTTCTTTGATACTATCTGCAAGCTAAAGCACGGATCTAAAGAACCCGGTGCCATTAAATGAGGTGCATGTTACCTCCTCTAACTCCTGTCGTGGTCTCACAGCTTAAATAAAAAAAAGGACTAGACCTTCACTGTTCTGAAAATGTTGTGATTGTGTAAAGGTCTTAACAGACAATAGCCGTATAGTATTGGGAGGCACATTCTAGCTAGCATTCTGACATCGATCGTAACATGTTGCTAAACAGAGGACGTCCTAAGAAGCTCAACCAGTAAATGTGCTCTCCAGCAGCAGGGTTGAGCTTGGGTCACGTTACTAGCCAACTGTGACTGGAATTCCCCAAGCGATGACGCAACATTGGCTGAACGCCACCGAGCGTAGGTTGGGACTAGTCAGCAAGGCTTCTAAAACACAGCGAATCCAGTGACCCGCATAGAGCATGCGGGAGGGAGCTCCAGTCAGTGCTGAACCTCCAGTAGGAGACGGTGTTGCCTGTGAAGTCTGCTACACTTCCTCTCTCTCCCCTGTGTGCGGTCACTGGGTTCGTAGCTACAAGATGGGATCTTAAAAGCCCCATAATCTGCATTTCAGAATGGGGTGGGTTTAAAAAAAAAAGTGGCAATCCTAAATCTCATCCTAAAGATTTTATCTTATTCTAAATCTTATTAGGACAGACTGATTATTATCATACCAGACAAAGCAAGTTCACATCTTTTCCCCCTCATTAAAATGATTGTGCTCGTACAATATTTAATTGTGATAGCATATGTCATTGTAATCAATGCTTCTTTTAATTAGCTCTATCTTATTTGGAAATTTTAGGTTGGTCTTACTGTAAACATAGCCCATCTATCTACAGTTTTCTCATAATGATCCTGCTGTTTCAGTTAATGCTCTCTCTTTTCTGTATCTTTAACACTAGCCTTTCACCTCCATATTGTTCCCACTACAGAATTTAGCATATTAATTGTGCCTTTCAGAAAACACCATTTGAACCTGTTACATTTTTACATACTCAAATCTTACAGACTTTGTGAAATTGAGAAAACAAACTGTAATTTTTGTAATTGAGGAAATCACAGCTGTTTAAAGTCTATTCAACATCTTCGTCTGGTGGCTGTTATCACTTCCTCATTATATCAACTAGAAAATTTGGCAGTAAATTTTATGAGACATCTATCAGCCAGGCTCAGAAGAGACTGGAAGCTTTTGCTTCTTCAGCATATACTGTTTTTGGTATCACAGCCTTTTCAAATTCAAAATAAAAATCCAGATTTGCAACGCTAACCAAAACACAACCTCGCCCTTGGCAATATTCTGTTCTTTTATGTGGTAATCACAAACCTGTGCAAATCAACCCATTGCTTTTACGTGATACCATTTGCTAGATTTTGCACATCGATTTATTAAATTGTGGGAGTATAAGAACAAAGATCAGTATAAGAAAATTACAACAAAGTGAATTTCACAGGTTAATACTGACAGACAAAAGAACAAGATGTATAAAGATAGACAAAATAAGCAATCTGTTAGCTGACCACTTGCTGCGATGCATTACTTTTTTAAGTTCACCTAAAAATACCACATTGCCTGCACCTTTGACCAAATAAAGAAGACAAACTACAGTACATTTTGTATGTATAATAAACTTATCTTATATCATTACAGTCGTTATATCTGTGAAAGTATTCTCAAACCTCTCAAATATCCTGTTTTTTCAGCACTTCTATTATTTTATTCCCAGTGTAATGAGATAATAACAGAACAGTAATTTAGGCTACATCCATGGAACAATGGAGAAAACAAAAGATCACTCAAATAAAGCATCGTCCACAGAAAGACAGAAACACATCTCCTGAATCACGAGAGCCGTGACTCAAATTCCAAATTGTGCACGGCCTGCAAACAGGATCATGAGTCCTTGGAAATATCCTGAGACAAAAACACACGAGCCCTTGCACTTAACTCGGAATTGAGTTGGCTGGGTTTATCATTTCGAAATGCTTTCACAGATTAGACACATTAAGAAACCAGCAGGGAGGGTAGGAGTGCCTCTACCTAGACGGATCAAAAATACTTTAAAGACCCCGCTTACAGAGCTGCAGTGGTAAAGAACCATCACAGAAATCCTTAAGAAACCCCTTTTATTTTAATAAGCTCATGGGTCAATTTAACTCAGTCCATCTTAGTTATTCACAAAAATTCAACATGTAAACTGACATTTTTCTGTTACTACAGTACAAAACTACCTTGCATTAAACACCTACAATAACAAACTATTTTTTGTTTAGCATCGCCTTCCTAGGAGGATTGCATTAGCCCAGCAGATCTGGGAACTTCACACAGAAACCACAGGCAAACAGTTATTCCGTCTACAACTGTGCACTTAGAAAAATAAGTTGGCATTTAAATACCCCCTCATCATCTCCAGCACAACTATATATTTTTTTCCGTGTAATTACACTGTTGTTATTATTCCAAATAATGGAACAGGCCTGCAAAGAAAAGTTCCCAGCAAGATTAAAGCAAGTCTCTGCAGCTGTCCTTGCATCACACCGTTGGAATGAGCTCCGTGGAGGAGCGCTGTGCAGAAACTGCACCCAATCCCTCTCTAACTCTTTTTTTCTCTTTAACGGCCATGGCTACCAATATCTTACAATTTCCACGTCAACTCAAATGCCCCTCCAAAATCGTACTGATGAGAGGTTAAAAAATGTTGCTTAAACCACTACTTTTTACAAGCATAAAAGGTTGGATTAACAGCATTTTGTGACAGCATGCTACATGGTGTTCCGCATTTAGAAGGATTTTGTTTTTTACAATGTGCATGCAGTGCCAAATATCCACAGAGTGTCAGGAAGACACTAATTCTTGTGAGGACTGCATCAACAGGCAGTCCCAGAACCATGCAGTGTCATGTGGACATTACTCTCACCCTGAACAGGACACCAGTCCATCACAAGGCTACAGAGAAAGGGACAGTCCAGAACAGCCACCCAAACCTAGACAGGATGTCTGTAGGCGGTGGAAATCGGAGCATCTTATATAATCCTTCTCACTGCCCGGATAAACTTCTCAAAACTGAACAAAGGAAACTGAAATGGAAAAAAAAATATGTCCGCTGCGCAGGTTGTAGTCTTTTTAGAAAGCTATGCATGAGCATGGGCAAAAAAAAAAAAAAAATCGATGCATAAAACTAGACAAAACTCAGATTTTAAAACATAACAAGAAACACAACGGGCCAGCAGATAATAGGAATAGCCCCTTTTATAATGTTAATACACCTCCTTAACATCCTTTCAGTTTGTGAATTCCAGTACAACAAATTACTTCTTTTTTTGTGCAGGTGTGGAATTAAGTGCTTAGGTTAATATCACAACACCTCTGCAGGTCTGATAAGGGTTCCTAAATGCTTCACCTAGCAACATGCCATGAAACATGGTGTGGATTACTCAAGTCAAACACTGTTAGTGTACAACACAAATAAAGCAAATTGAAATAAACTCTGTACTCAGAGTTTGCTGACAGGTTGTAGCAAACTATCCATTTCCTTATCAAGTTTCATCACCATAATACATTTTATGGGCAGGTTTCAAGCAGGAACCAGTTTTATGTAAAGAACATAATTGTCAAAATGTGGCGATTGTCAAAAAAAACAATCTCTAAACAGGAAAATAACTCAATTACATAAGCAACAGCACATTTATGCAGCCAGACATTTCACCATTTCACCCTACTAAGGAACTCATTGACTTCCATAATGTTAATCGTGGAAAATATGATGGGAGAATGTTTTGATCGAACAGTAGAGATGGCAACTAAAACATTCCTCACAGGCCTAGGGAAGTCCTGCCATTATTTCACTCAGAGGATATCTGCAGGGGATAGAACTGTTTCCTATCAAGCAAAGTTTATTGAGCACATACTTCTAGGCACAAAGTCAATTGTGTAATCTTTTTCATTACATAACTATTTAAAAAATAAAACATTTGTATTTTAAAGCCTGCTTAAAATTATGTGGTATAAATTTTGGTATGCAACATCAACAGATCTATAACATATGGTATATTCCATCTCTGTCCGTTGCAAATTGATCGATTCAATGTATCTGACTGAATCACACTTACCGAAACATAAAATAGATCTTGGAACTTAACCTTTTTATTTTAATTTATTGTCTTAGGCCTGTTTCTACCCTGAATCTATGTTGCTCTTATACTCATTTCTCAACACAGACTTTCTTTATGAATTTTTACAACTTAAACCAGTTCCAGATGAGTACACCAAAGAGCTTGGATGTCTTCAGTCTGGAGCAAAAAAATACTTCAAACTTCAAACAGTGTGACTCTTCTTCATATGCTTGCTCTCAAAAGGACATTTTGATAAGACTTCGGAAACTTTTTGTTTCTTTACAGAATAAGGTTAATTCTATCTTTTCAGGATAACTTTGTCTATTAATTTGTTTTAATTCCAGACATCCACTGAAAATCCTGTACTCAAAAGATAAAATTCGATCATATATCCCAGCACTTATTTAAATCAAGGGAGGTTGCCTTTAAAATGCGTGCAGTGCATTAGTTAGACTTCATTTGAAATGGTAAAGAATTGCTGCTCTGGAATCCATCCAGAGAACAGCGACCAGATGCATTCCTGGGTTTAAAGGAATGTCACATACTGGCAGGCTAAAAGTATTTAATCTTTTGTAGTTTTAATCAAAGACAATTAGAAAGGGGACCTAAATCAAGTATTTAAAGTCCTCAAAGACAATGAGGAAATCTACTCAAAGGGTATCTTCAGAACCAACAGCGTACCATGAACCAACAGACAACAAAAAGGACAGGAGAATGCATTTAAAATTGAGAACGGGAGACACTTTTAACCAAAAAGGGTGTGGCGGCCTGGAACAAGCTACACTGTAATATTGTTGAAGCGTATACGCTGACTTCTGCAAAGGCATAAATGAAAAGTTCAAAAGCTACTAGAAAATAAATGAGCTAGCTAGGCCAAATGGCCTCTTTTGATTCACAACCCCTCCAATGTTTTTAATTTTTCAAAACCATTCAAAGTCTTTTTTATTTTATTTTTTCTGTATTTTTAAGTACAGGCATCATTAAAAAGCCTCAGGTTTAAGTACAAGTATCGTGCTAAGACTTACATCTCCCAGGGCAGAGGTGTTCTGAATGGGTACAGTCAAGACAGGCGGAGTGGCTGCAGGAAATGAGCCATTTCCATTGGGCGCGAATTTGTCCTGGGGGAGAGCGGGCACGGTGATGAGCCCGTTAGGCATGGCCAGCACGGGTTGTGGTGGAACAATCTGTGGACTCTGCAGCTGCACCAGTCGGGTCGGCTGGCTCAGCATCACAGGTCGTCCTGGCAACAAAAGCAAGACACTTAGCCAACAGCAGCATACTTCACAGCTTTAAATGAGCGCTCCCTATATAGTAATACTTGCCAACTTAAAGCACATACTGTATACGTGAGGAATATTTTCTTAGTTTTTACTCAATAAAGCCAACATATTCAACTGCGACAATCAAAGAAGGGCACCATATCAACGAGGTAAAAAAAAAAGACAGAAACTTAACTTAAAATCATGAGTAAACTGCAAATTATACAATAGCTAACAGCTATTATATGGATTACAAACAGCTATTTAACAGATTAAGGGGGTTAAAAGACACAGAATTCTGTAAAAGATTAAGCCTATTTAGCATTTCAGGAGATAAATCTCGGTAAAGTAGTTCAACCTTGTCGTGATAAAGTAACAGATCTAGATTTCAGTTGGGAAGTTCTAGTGATCCCCAGATAAACGTCCTTGCAATTCAGCAGCATGCCGTATTTGTATCGAAAGATAAATATAGAAAGCTAAAACTACTTTTAAAAAAATCATCAAGGTTCCAACACTGAAGGGGTTTCAAGAGTTCATTAGGTGCAAGACGAGACTACAATTAATCTGCCATCACCTCTTCCAGAATTGGTGCAATAAACGGTCAATTAGAAATACCAGCACTGGACTACAGGGGATCACTAATGATGTTAGCAGCAAATGGGGAAGCAGCAGAGAATCTAGCATTAAGTAGGCATGTAGGTTTGGGGTCCAAGATACAGGCAGCAGGTCTCATTTGAACTATCAACTCAGTCACACGAACAGAAGGGAGCTGCTGACATTTTAGAAATCTCCATTATCACTGTGATTTTCAGGGGACGTCAATCTTACTTTATTAAAAGCGATTTAAATAAGAAACAGAGCAATTACTTCCCCATCCAGTGTTATCAAACTGTCGTCACCAGCAACTGTTTGAATGAATTAAAAGCATGGCTGTAATAAAAAAGCACTGAAAGCTTCCATGCTGGAAACAGGGGTCTCCATGGCGATATCAGTGGTATGTCATTTCCCAGATGGAGCAGAGTGAAGCTGGCTTTGTTAAAATGCAATGCAAGCGCTTGTTGTGCTAAAAGGTAAGATTCCCGTCTTATGAAAGAGGAGAAAGCTAGCAATGTGCACAGACCTATGAAAAAGTTACTAGATTTCCCGTTTTACTTTTGTTGTAATACTTGTGAGAAACCAAAAAGTCACCTATAAAAACACTTTTCCCCCCTCCATATCAAAACTATCCTTATAAGAAAACAGTATACGCACTCTGTAATGAGTAAAACAATACCACATTAAGCGAAATTATCACTAAGGTGTGAAAAATAAGTTCCAAACTTTATTTAAAATCTGTCCGTCTCACCAAACGTACTTCCGACTGTTGGTGTTTTGGGTCTCTGACCAGACTGACAAGATGATCATTCTTAATTTGAGGGTCACAGTTCGTTTGTAAAAAAAAAATCAATTAGTACTCACTGCCACCCACTGGGGTCTATCTATATTCATCATAAACAAAGTAATGGATTATGGTCATTAATGTTGAAAATTAGGTCTGTACCATATAGTGCTTCGATATTGTTTTAATGACATAATCCTGAATGTTTACTTTCCCATTGTACAGCAAATTACAAGTCATTAATCTGATTTATTCTTTCTAATTTAGAGGAAACCTTCCAGCTCTCAGTGCAGGGAGAGCCCTTGTCCTGGCTGGGCTATAGGAAATGGGTTTGTATATTATAGCTATTCCCTACACCATTCCCAGTCACAGACAGCAATCACCTTTCCCACCCTCTTAGGAGCAGAAT